ATTGCGACATTTAAAACGAAGTGAAAGAGACGTGTGGCTTCTTCAGCGAGAAGGATTTTAAAAAATAAAAACGCGGAAAAATGGACTTGAATGATTCTGCACGAGGAGAGTGGATGTTTTCTGTTATTACGAATTTTCCTTTTCGTTTGGATCGAAATTACGTGTAGAGGATGTTTTCCGTTATTGCGAATTTTCCTTTTAGTTTGGATCGAAATAATGTGTAGATTCTGTGTGGAATAAGTTTTTAAAAAGTGATTGAGGATATACCGGGTATTTCTCCAAATTTTATCAGAGGAAAACTTCAGCATTTACTGTTTGTACGTGCTTTTGCTAAATTGAATCAGATTTATTTTTAGACCGTGCTGTATTTTAGATACAGAATAGTAGGCTAATAGAAGACAGTATACAGGGCTAATACAGAACGGAAAGTAGCTCCGCCCACCGTAGTCCCGTTCTGTATTGCTAATACAGAACAGTAAACTTCAAAGAAAAACACCGCTTTCGTGTCACAACAATGGTTATGTCCATTCTTTTGTCGATACAATATATCCCGGTGAGCTTGAAATAAAACATAATAGTACCACAGTCTGACCACATCATATTTGGATAATTTACTAGAAAAAGTGGATAATTATAATCTAACAACCAAGCTCTATGATAAACGTGATGACTTTTTTAATAAAACTTTTCAATCGTCAACTTACCTTAATACCTTACTTATGAAGCACTATATTTTATCAACTTCATACGGGATTTATATCTCTTGATTCGATAAGCGAGAGCATGCTCTACGTATGAGCATTTTCTAAATCGAGGTACGTTATTGACAAATGAGTTCATGAAAAAAACATCATCATTTTGTTAGTTCTATGGTCGATACAGTGACCTTGTCAGCAAATACTATTCATCATTAAGGTCTTTCTCACCCATTCTCAATATAAGGGCACAAATGCCTCTCTGATTTTTTAAAAAATGAAGTTCAAGATAACAATTTTTCTATCAATTACCTTTGAAAGAAAGTATCTGAAGATTTTGTTTCCAGATTTTTTTTCATCAAATTATAATACATGGAATAATGACAAGACGATAAAGTAGAGGGTGATTTCATTCAGAAATGTAGCTTGAAATGTACGTTACTCTTTCTTCAATGTCCAAAAAGATATGTAAAAAAAATGTAGTCATTCACATCACAATTGGAATATCTCATCTTAACACCAGCACATCCTACCAACTCTGTCAGCAACAATTTCCTCGGCATACGAACGTGCGTTTGATTTTTCCTTTCAAAAAACAAAGGTTACTTTTTGATCCAGATGTATAAAAACATTTTTTAAATATATGCTTTAAATTCCTCTCTCTGTTTTGTTTAGAGCGATCAGTTTGGAATCCTGTCATTTTCTATAGATACTGGAACCTAACATGTACATGCAGTAAAATTCTATTTTGTAGTTACTGTCTTTTTTAACATATATCCATGCCGATTTAGAAAACTACGTAAATGTAACGTACATTTCAAGATAAATTTCTGTTTAATAAAAAGCTTAAAATTCATCTAAAAATTCATCGTTTTGTTTCAGTTTATTCCAAAAAGATTCTCAATGTAATCACATTGTGTTATATGTCACAATCACCACTATAAAGACACGATTGCCTCAGAATATGAGTAGGTAACGTACATTTCAAGCTTGTAATAATATTTAAATTAGTAATAAGAAAATATTGAAAAAAAAGCAATTATTGACATAAAAATCATTTCAATGAAGCGTTTTAAGGCAGTAATAAAAGAAATCATAATGTAACAAACGAGGTTATTTGTCATCAACTACATGAATGTCACATCACTTCGGTAACGTTCATTTCACATATTATTGGGGAGTCCCCTCCACCTCAGTTCATTACCATTCTTTTGTGCTGTTGCGCTGAAATTGACACCGGTCGTAGCCTAGTTACTTCTACCTGTGTGCAAGGGTACAGACCAAAAATAAAAGAGTCAGACGTATTTTGCTATGATCTAACAAATGTTCGTGTTTGGCCATTGAAACTTAACATAAATCTATTCCGAATATATCCATCGACAGTTTGTTAACAATTTCATTTAGTATGTAGCAACATCGTTTTTCAAATCACAAACATACGTGCTTTTCAGCAGATCTGGAAAAATATAACCCAAAATGCAATGATTCAAACAAAACTGAGTATTGTGTGCCTTTCAGTATTTGAAATGTACGTGGCCGTCTTGTGTTCTGGGTTTATTTGTTTTGTTTCTTTTTCTTTTTTTCTTTCTTTTTTTTTACCAATTATAAGCCTATGCATACATTGTTTTAGATTATCAACAACAATTAAATTAATATTGACGAAAAGTCGCATATTAAAAGTAAACAAACTGGAAAAAGATGAATTTAAAACACTTAGAAATAAATTTTCTAGCATGTGGTAACAGTCTTAAACATTTACGAGGATTGGGGGTGCATTTAGATGGATTTATGTGGCCAGTTGTCAAAAGGATTGTAACGATAATTTTGTTTCGCTCGTTTAAACGCAATTCATTGACTAAATTAAAAGAAAATGGCAGTTAGAAATACGTGAAATGTACGTTACCATACGTAACGTACATTTCAAATATAAAAATCAATTCTCTTCCACAAGCGTACGTTAGACACGCAATATATTGATACTATTTGAACTTGCATATCATAAGAAATGCATCATACAGGTTTCGTACTCAGAAATATATACCAGGTATCAAAATTATATTACATATAATTGACCTTAATATATTTTTTTTCCTAAGCAGAAACGTTTCTTTTCATTAATTTTTGGATTTAGCCGACCTCCAACCTTTGAAACTTTCCTTTGTGTACACATTCGAGTGTGTGAAAGTATGGGAATACATGAAAATTCTGCGAGATTCACTTAATTCGAATTTCATGGTAACGTACATTTCAGTAACGTACATTTCAAATGATCACTTTTCATGTAAAAAATAATTTTTAATTGTGTGAAGCAAAACGTCTTTGCCAGTTTACAGGATACAAGGGGTTGCTTATTCAGAATGTCTTTCATTCCGTAATCATATTTATAAAAGTTGCTCAAATTGTTCATTTTCATGTTACATTATCTAAGTAGGAGTAATTAATCTTTTGAAATTTCAAATTTAGCCCATCAATAAATAAAGGAGAACAAAACTATCAGGTGTATAATCTTTGTGTTTGCTTGTAATGTGGTTGAAATAGAATTATGCGACAGGGACATTGCACAATAAAAATTATTTATTATCACAAAGAAAATGTATATATTTTTATGAAAAGAAATATAGATGATACAAGGTTTAACTTATCAGAAAATTTTTACTTGAGAATCAAAACTATATATTACACAGAGGGGATTCAGAATAATATTTGCCTCGGCGACAGTAACGTACATTTCAAATAGGCTACTATATTTGAATTTGGAACTCCTTAAATACCCTTTCAGATCGATAATTATATGAATTCTTATTTATTGTTATATGACTATTTGTAATGTTGATTTAAAAATTACATCAGTGGTATTTCTTTTAAATGAAAATGAGGCGACATTATTTGAGCCCTTATATTGAGAATGGGTGTTCTATCCTTATAATTTTAATGGTTCAACGTACAAAAACTGCATTTATTTTTATTTATTATAGTTAAAATTTACCAATTATTGCCAAAAAAATTATAGGTCGCCCTATTCTTTTAAAATGGGAGACATAAATAAACAGAAGTGTATGTCAACATGAAAAAACAGCATACCGTTTGAAAATAGTATTGAAAATATTGTGTAAAAACTGGATCAAATACATAATTCTGATACTAAGAATTCCAAAATAATTGCTACTTATAAGATAATTTTGAAATAAGAATATCAGGGAAACTATTTTACATTAAAAGTACAATAAAGAAGATATGTTAGAAAGATTTATTGCCCTTGTCACAAATTTTCAAAGATTGAATAATTGATTAAAGAATGAAAATAAACATTTTTAAAGTTCTATTACTTAACAATATTTATCATTACACCTATTTAAAAGCATTCTTTCAAAACACTTTGTTCTATTGAGTGATTTGAGTATGAATTTAAATTAATAACAGTTTTTGCAAAAACCTATGACATCATAGCAGGATGGAAATATCTTAAGTCAAATGCTGAATGACGTTTTTCATTCTATTATTTTCACACTGAATTGACGACGGATTTTCCCGTTACTAGTATTTCCCAATCATGACAAGGAACACACTGCGGGTTTTATCGGTAGACAGAGATGCTCACTCCCCCATGCCACCTGATCCCACCTCTGATGTTTTAAACATCCGTGTTTGCTTCGCTCCTGATTTGTATTGTTTAATGGACTTTTGAGCTCGAATACTATTCGTTATCTCCTTATATTTCACTCTTAACATAAACAACTTATGAAGTCTTTGAAATAATCTATATACATCGTAGTACTAGTACTTGAAATACCGGTATGTTAACTTTATGAACTTTATATTACAATTATATTAAACATAACCAACTTTCGGCAAGAATCGCAAGACAATTCGAAGTTTGCATTTTGCAACTTAGTACAATTCTCGGTTAACCTTGAACTTTCAGTAAGGCGTGACATTCTCGACGTTACATAATTAGCGTCTGGAATTTACACAGCTTCCATTTACTGCTGAAATATACATGGGATAGATATTTGGCGAATGTAAAGGAGTGTAGCAATTATCCAATACAGCGTCTCGTATGGCAATGAGGTTGAGCTTAAGTCGTCTCATCGTTGTCAACAACAATTTAAAGTTCCTGATAAAATTTCTTAACCAAGAATCTTTTCGCCATTTGACAGATGCTTATTACGTGGCGCCGAGAATGCCACAACTTACAGTCCAAGGTTAACTGAAAATTATACTAACACATTTGGAAATTGTGAAGAAATTTTCATTAGAAAGGGGGAAAAACAACACACAGTAAAAATAAAATCAAGACAAAAAATGTACGCGTAAAGATATTTTTAGTGAGATCAAATGATAAAAATGAAGAAAAAAAAATATGAGTTTCCATATAAATGTACAATAAATTGTTCGTAAATTTCCAAAGAGCTCTTGAACAGTCATATGAAATATGCTGGCTTTTTAACGTTGATGCCGTATTCCGCAAGCGCCGGGGTTAGATCGTCCATCGTTAGTGTTAGTTTCTTGTCCTGAAATTAACATCACATTATGATAAGTATTATGATATTGAAATATTGGTACTTCTGTTGTGTTTAAATCAATTGAACAATCGGATTTATCTCATACCTTGCCCTTATTCTTCGACTGAACAGATCCTTTCATTTTGCAGTGCTGTAAGGCATCGTTTGCTATGTCAGAAATGAACTTTTGGGCAGCGATAGAAATGAGTCGTGTTCTGGAATATCATAAATACTCGTACATAAATAATAGACCAAGTGCATGTGTTTAAAATCACAGCTAAGGAAGGATAACTCTAACTATAGCAAACTTACACTCTGGGGTCTGAGGCTTCAAAACCTGCGCGATTCAGATAAAACGCTGTTACAGAATCTGGAATCTGAATGGAAAATACTAAATTGTAAATAAAATATAAAAAGTGTGTGCCATACACGATGCATACCTCTAATACTTTTCCTCCCAAAATGATTGCAGTAAAGTTTAATAATGAGATGATAACAAATATATGTACAATGTATTGGAAAACTGGAAGGGAGGCTCATAGATAATGTTTCATTCAAAATCTAAATATATACCTAAAGGATTCAATGACGATTTCAGTGAATTTGGAATTATTTACAAAATTAATTATATAAGGGATATTGAGCATTTCTGTGAAACGTGTACATTTTTTCATTTTATTTTCGCTTAAAACGTTTAAATGTAAATGTTGCCCTGCAATAATCAAACATTACTTGACAGTTACACATACCGTAGGGGCATAGTCCTCCAGTTGCTGAACAAAGTCGGTAAGGGGAACCCCCGCCGTCCTGTCGTGGGTGGGCGTGCCAGATGGTGCCGTAGTGGGCGTGGCACCGGAGATCGCAGATCCCCCACCTGACTGACCGGTATCATCTGAAAATAGAAAATACCATATAGAATGTGAAATTGTCATGCAAGCATTATATTTAGATGTAGAATTTTTTGAAAGCCGTAATAATCATTGCGATTCCAATTCAGAACTTGGTCAGTTTGAAATATATATACTAGTATATTCTATTTCCTGGATTTTTTTTAAAGGTATTCTACAAAAAGTAGCTGCAGATCTGTAGATCGCTAGTCTAATAAAAAAAATCGGGATGGACAACCAAAGAGCTACAGTGCCACCCATCGAAAAATGTAATAATACAATGGTAATGACTGTAATAAAATATTCAGTCTCCAACCTTACAATAAATCCTGTTTGGTGTATGAGATATATGTACATGAACCATTAAACAGGTTTCTATTAAATGTACTGACATATGATTACACTTACTTTTAAACATGATGTTCCTCTTAGAACTGCGTAATTAAGACTCTTTATGTACTATATATAATGAATGTGACATTATATAAAATGTCGTTAGCGTCATAGCATTTTACATAATTACTGTCTAACGGAAAAAGCAAGATAGGTGAAAATTGTACTTGAACATCTAGATATAGTTTGTAAAATCGTCTAATAAAGCTTTAAATTTTTAAGTGGTAACTGCGCCAAATATAAAGCAGTATTTTTGTGGTTGGGCTGTTTACTGTTGGGGGAAATCCCATCGTATATGAGTAGAATATACTAGAGCCGGGGATTTGACTCTGAAGTCACTTTTCGGGAAGGGGGCAGCAGGGAAAGCCAATTCTACAAGACTGGTATTAAAACTAATTTTAATGAAAGTGAATTAAGCAAGTCAGCTTTCTTTTTTATCTTGAGCATTAAATCCAAAACTAAAGATCAAGCAGACTTAAATGAAGTCCATTTTCAGTCAACTTACTTGTATAGGTTTATTCCCTGAACGTCTACTCATTATAAAATTATTTAATTATCACCCTCAAACTAAAATATTGTTATAAATCTGGAGTTCATTAATACATGTACCATAAATAAACTTAAAATTAAGGATGCGATTGCACGGCGAAAGCAGCAAACAAATATATCTTCATATACAATAAATATTTTTTATCTAAAAAACTTTTAAAATTAGAAAAAGAAAAAGTACTAAACAAGACATGTTAAGATAATTTTTGACAACTTATCTTCAAAAATAATTTCAAAAATCCAATTTAGTTTGGGGTGAGGTGAGGAATTTTCAGAGGCCTTATTTTTTAAGCTTGCCGTTAAGGCTGTCTAAAATTAAAACTATGTTTAACGTCACCCGCGCGCGTAGGTTTATGAGAAATTCGTCTTTGAAAAAAACAAACAATTCGGAATTCCGTATGTCCGTTCCGGTTTGGTTCTACAATTAGCGACTAAATTCTGCTTCCCGTAGTGACAGAAAATGTGCTTTGATAGTCGCAGTAAAGGCAGTTGGTGTCTTATTAAAGAAAACTAGTGAATTAAAGAGTTTGGGACCATAAATGTAAGTAAAAAAAAACTTGATTTTATGATTGAAGTTAATGACAAAGTCTAGTTCGTTGATTTTTTGTCAGTCTTCGAATCACATGTACAGACCGACAGACTCTCAGTTCGTGATTATTGGCTGAACTTTTCATTGTATTTTGGAGACAATCTAAAAACTTTTTTACTGAGTGGAAAGTGTGTCAAAAACCAATATTTATATACAGTGAAAAGCATCATTTAAATCTTATTTAGTTTATTTAATATTAAAAAAAAATTTCTGTAAAAATCAAAAGGAACAGTAATGAGTAAAATAATTGATTTCTTCATAATTCATGTACCAGTACAAATAGCTACAGTTTTTGGAAAAGATAATACTTGTCTTAACCATTTGAGCAGGGAGAAGCTTACCGAAGATAGGGCCTTTCAAGTGAAGGAGAGTAAGGAAAGTGGTTTGGGGTATTCCAAGACATGAAGAATCCTGTCCTTTGTGTGGAATTCAAGGTATTAAAGATAATCTAACAGCTATCAGTATGGTCCAAATATTAGTATTCACACTTTCAAAACTTAATGCTAGTAGATCTAGTACTAAGAAAAAATATGACATAATTCAATTTGAGGATATTTCAACATGAACAGTTTTAAATATTGTCATCAATAATTTTAATTGTAGATATTGAGCAACTATTTCCACAAGAAGAAGCATTTGCCTCCAGGGTACCATGGACATGTGGCAATATAAGTCCAAAGGACAACTGAGGCCTATTTAAAAGCCACTTTCCTGCACATTCAGTCTAAGACTACATTTTCGCTAACAATAGGACTCAAACTGATTTACATACTAAGGAAAAACTCTGCTAGGAAAATTAATCTTAGATGTCATATCAATTAAATGCTCATATTACTTAATTGTTATATTTTTAATGTACTGAATAGGTTAATTTGAATAAATTCACAATTGTTTGAAAATTTTGTTTGTTTATTTTTTTCCTCCCTCCCTCGTAGGTTTTGAACTTTAGATGTGACGTTAAACGTAGAATTAACTTTAAACAGCCTAATAATATCTAATAAAACTGGTCACAAAAAGCCAGATAAGTGGTGTTTTTAATTGTTGCTAAAAATTTTTATGAAAAATATACACCAATTGATATGGCTAAAATCTTCAAAAATTAATAATAAAATTTTGGTGTAGAATTCCTCATTTAATAAATACAGGTGTAGATAATTCAGGTAAACTATACCTGTACCCCTTAGAGGGCCCCTTAATTGAGTGTGATAATTACATAATTTTATAATTAGTAGACGTTCAGGGAACACACCTTTGTATAGATGTCAGGAGCGAATCCGTGATTTCATAATCCCCCCCCCCCCCCGAAATAAGTTATTTTTTAACTATTGGCCTAGAGCATAAATACTACGAAATTTCTGACGTTTTCCAAGTTTTATCACGCTTTTGATATTTTACGTGACAGGAAAACTTTTTTCCTAGTACGTAAAATATCAAAATCAAGAAAAGGCTGAAAAACGTCCTGGATATTTCGGACTAGAGTATAAAGGACAAGGTAATTGGTAAAGATAAAAGAAAGCTCCCAACCTATCCATGCATTAAGTGGCACATAAATAAGCAATGTCAAGTAGGAATACTCTCAGCATTTTATTGAAATTGATAAACAATACAACTGTAGAATACACAACAAACGTTTTTAACTCCAAAGCAAAGCTGCTTATAAAGTCTTTTGGGTGATGCTATATAACACCAGAACTAAAAAGTAATATATAACAGTAACTTATTTACAAAGCAAACAAGTCTGTTATCATCAAAGTTTTTATCCTTAACAGTGGTGAAATTAAAGAGTGTTTATGTGCTTTATACACATCTCAATAATAAGACAACTGATCTTAAGGTTATCTGACCCTTTCTAAAGAGAGGTAACTCTTTCATTAATACATCACTATATGTCTCTTTTACACTTTGACTGAAATTTTGCCCTGCATGGTTACTATAAATATGCCTTTTGGCTTTTACCTCAACTTTCGTTAGAACATTGTCATACTTGCACAAACATTTTTATTTTCATTGAGTAGAGGGTCACTAACCCTTCACATTATCAAATATTTTTTAAAAATTTAAAACCCAGATTTGATCTGAAACTAAGGCTCAAACTTTGAGGTAAAGAAGAAATTGAAACATATATCAATTACATTCACAAATTTGCTGCCAAAAAATGAAAATGAGGGGAAAAAATCTGAGGAAACTGAAAGCTTATGTTTTTAAGGCATGTTTTAAAAAGCAAACATAACACTTTAACACAACACAACAAATAAACACTAACATGTATATGATATGATGCATGCAACTAAATATATCACTAGAATAACATAATGACTAGCTCAAAATAAAACTACTCATAATTGCTAGGTACATAGGAGCCTTGTTTATCAAGGTGCCCATAATCCAGACACTTCATTCTTCAGAAAATGTTGAAGGGGAACAATTTGTATTTATTTATATATACTGTATATAAGATTATTTTTGTCCACATGTTATTTTCACCCTTTCAAACATGCAAACAATTTTGCCTCGTTTTAAATTCACCCAGTCACAGTTTTGTATAAGAAAATATACTGTGTTTTTTTAATTCGTCTCGTTTTAAATTCACCCAGCTGAAAGTAGGGCGAAAATAAAACAGGGGTGAAAATATTCCTGTATACAGTAATAAGTACAATTATTTTAATCCTAACACTTCATTAATCCAGATGATTAACAAGGCTCAACTGTATATGTATATATAGGGCTACAAGTCATTGGTACATGTAATGTCATCAGTACTATTTATTCAAAACCTTCTATACCAGTACATTTTCAATAAAATATAATCTACTTGGTATATCAAAAGGACCCTTATTTTAACTTGAATTGTTATTTTATTCGTTTATTGGAAAGAGTCAGGTAGAGGGATATTTTCCTTTTTTTGCTATTTCAGCAAACATTATAAATGTACTTGTTTGATACCAAGTGAGTGATTTATACAGATGATTTTCAATACAAGATTTGGAAATAACCAAGAGGATATTACAATATTTTTTTAAAATAGCAAAATATTTCATTGAACTGTAGGTAATGTTCTTCATTTGTAGCTGACTTGTAGCCTTAAATCAGTTGTTTATTGCAATTTCACTTTAATAAAAAAAAAGTTACTACAATAAAAAAACAAGCAAAATACATAAAATAAAATAATGATATAATAATAAAATATTTGTGTACAATACATTGTAAATATATGAATTATTTGTAGACATAAAATGGCAAGACAATTTATGGCTATTACAGGGACTAGAATATTGCTATAGTGTAAATAAACAATACAAAAAACAACCTTTCAGATATAAATCAGATGCCTCCTTTGTATAAGTTTAGTTTACAAAAAGATAATTAATTATATTTTAAGATAAAAAATTTTAGAAGTTGTCCAAGTTTCCTTAAATATTCAAACTTGATATAGTTTGAAAAACAAACAAAAAAAAATTATGAATAATTCTGATACTGGATATTATAAGAATCAGTACAAATGACATTTTTTTATGCAATAAATGTACCGGTACACTGAAAAGATTCTCTTATATACACTCCTATTTGTAAAGGTTTAGCACACTCTTAATCAAAATATTGCCTTTATAAAAAAAAATTGGAATAAAATAAAAACACAAAACAAACAAACGTCGAAATTGTAAATCTTTAAATGCCAGATCTGGTATGTGAGCACAGGAATATCGTGTACTACTGCAAGTAAAACATGTACATAGGTCCCACTACATAAGTAAATTAAGGGATTGCTTCCTTTTGTGGGACTATATCTCTAAATCAAAATGGATTTTAATCAGGCCTTAATTATCTCCCCTGATACAGGCTGACGAGAGTGGAAAATGTCAAAACATGTCCCAGAGGGCAAATGTTATCTAACTATGCTCACAAATGTCAACTAAATTCCAACCATCCCAGTCAAACAAACTATTTACATCTCATCGGCATCCAAAGCTTATTAATCAAGTGTACAAATGTTTAACTTATTTAGTTATTTGAGAGATTTTGTCTCTTGCAAATCTGCTTCCTATCTAAGCATTGTAAACCCAATCATGGGAAAATTTACAATGCATACATAATATAAAAGCATGCTAAATTTGTAAACATTAACACTATAACTCTGTTCAAAAATTCAAAAAGCATTGGCATGCCAAGATTGTAACTGATATTTGAATCACTGTCCATTGGATGAGGGTAAATCTGGTATCTCCATGGAAAACTGAGGTTCGACATATCCATCCATTGTGTAGATTTTCTTTTTTGATTCCGAGAGAGGGGGGATTCCAGCCTTTGACTCCCATTCGTGGACAATCTCCTGATCTGAGGGACAGGTTTTACGAAATGTATCGTTTTCATATGCCCTTTTAAGGTATTGCCAAAGGCCTACCATATCCTCTGGGATTTCGAAATCTTTGAACGCTTTTGCAGCTACTCGAATATGCTGAAGCTTTGGCAACATTAAACAATCGAGGTGACACAGCTCATCCCTGCACATGTACTTATAGGTACTGGTTTCTAAATAGTCATTGATTGCCTGCAGTTCCTTCAAGAGGGCCTCTGGTCCATGACTGACTTGTTTAATGTAATAGGAAAACTTGGCAAAGACGTCCAAACACACACTGTGTGCCATCATGTTGTCGTACTTCAGCGAAGGATACGGGAAGTGTTCGTCAATGTACTGCAGAATCTCATCATTATCTATCAGAATTTCATCATTATGTCTCAGAACTGGAAGGCGATTAGCAAAGCGTTTGAATTCTGCAGGTGGCCTGGCCATGTTGATTGTGATGACATCATAAGTTAAGGTTCCGTGCTTAGCCTTGATATCCAGAATCATGTAAAATCTCTGGCAGAATACATTGGCTCCATAACTTTCTCCATCTTTTCCAGCCTTCACGTAAAGTTCCACATGATTGGAGGGCAAAGAATCTGATTGCCCATTCATGATGAAAATATTTCTCCAACAATCACAATTTCCTGTTTAGACTTCGTAAGGTTTCTAAATGATATCACTTGAAGGAAGCAATTCTAAGAATTTCTGTCTGGAAACACTCAGCAATAGAGGTCCTGTGTCACCATTTCACAGAGACGATAACTCGAATTACACCTGCAGAAAATAAGAAAAGAGAATTAAGTGCTCATTGATGTAAAATGTTACAGAAGACACTTGAAGACAGCAAATCAAAAAGGATTTAAACTGTAAAAAGTTAATGTTACTGCCACCTAGTAAAACTATGCATTCATTACATCTTAATTTAGCTACCCTGAAGACATATTTTATCATTCAAAGGATAAGAAAGTTTGCTGAGGATAAACATCGTAATTTGGTGACATTCCATAAACTCATGGCAGGTTGCCATCTTTATGTCTGCTGGTCTGGTCCCTTCAGTAATCATTCCCACTGCTCTGTAGACAGTTTTACACACTTACAGACAACTCAATAAATGGAACTGATGCTGCACATCAAGAAATTGAAAGGAAAAGGCCAGGAAATCTCTAAAACCAAAACATGAAAGAGCAATTAAAAGTACCAGCACTTCAATTGACATGCACACGAATGCCCTTAGACCCAGTCTGATATTATTTTACAAATAAGATTTGAAACTCCATCAAACACAGGAAGCCAATCAAGCAAACAAGTGCCAGCTCTGATAAGATCCACAATGCTGCATTCTACTACACATTTCAGCTGTTGAAGCTAACAACAGAGCTCCGTCCATCAAATTACTCTCATAATATTAGCATGACCAAGCACACAAATGAATTTCTGCAATGTATTCAATGTGGTTAAAACTCTATTAGCCGTACCTCTTTTTCCATCATATTTGCATTTTTAAAAAAGAAAAGCTATTTTTATCTTGACCATGATAAGGGCCATTTACATAGTTTCACTTTATCTTAATAAGATGGATCTTAAAGGTGTAACATTTGAGTCATATCAATGTTTTACTGTTGATTTTACACAGTTTACGTTTTAAGATGGCTGGGATAACAAACATTAACTGCTTAGCTATAAACGGCATTTCTTTCTTTTTGTTTATCGGCTCACAAATAAAAAGAAACATAGCTGCTGGAAAAATTGTTCTCTTGCTAAAAACTTAAGTCAGCTCAAAGGTAAACATAGCTTCTCCCACTTAATGAATTACAGGCCAGCTAGGGTTTTTATCAGTAGAAAGTGAAGAAGGGATGTTTTGACAATCAGCTATGACCACTTCATGCCTGACATACACACAACAAACACATTCACTGAAGTATCTACAAAGGAAATCAATACAATGTCTAGAAACTCAGAGAGATGAATGTTTCCTTTAAATACAGCAGCTGGTCAGACAAGGAGTTAGGGCTAGTGCATTAACAACCACTAAAAAACAAATCAATCAATTCTTAGAAGCATGCTGCACAGCGCTACTGCTTTATACTACTGAAGTCTTTGCTCCAGGGAGGAGTGTAGGCAGTAGACAATAGCCATCATTGCACAAGATTTTCTTATTAAGCTGACAAATTTGCAATCTAAGTGGATCCACACTGCATCTTTAAAAACTTGAATGCCAGATTGTCTTGGATTAATGGTTGACTATCAGAAAATGACACAAATATATGACAAAAATTTGAACACAATATTTTCAGTCTATCAGACAGCAAAGAAAAATGTTCTCTCTTGAGAGAAGCAGAGCTGATGATTCAATCAGATTTGGCAACAAATAAGATACAACTTGATGAAATTAATGGCAAACTTAGTCTCATCTGACAGCCACAAGTAACGGAGAAAACACTCATAATACACACCAAAGCAATCTGTAAAATCAATACACACTCTGCTACAAAAATAGCTTTGAGCAATAAACACATTCCATATCAAATATTAATCATATTTCTACATACATGTAAATAAGAACATAATAATTCCCTACAGAAATGGAATATTCCAGAAAACAATATAAACTAAAAGAAAATGAAGACTTACTGTCTTTGACTCTGCATGAAGTGGTATAAGAGTTAAACTCCTTCAGTGTTGCGGAGAAACTGGGACACACCCAGTCCTGTGTAACTACCTGTTTAACACTGTGGGCTTCCCTCCTTATCAAACACAGGTATATATATATAAATATCTATCAATTTCTCCCAGTCTATCAATCACATAGACACACTACTCCAGTCACAACTGAACAGGCACACATGAATTAATTCCTGTAATATAGACGTAATGTACATGTACCGATATACAGAGGGTAAAGTCACACACAGGGGTCCAACAAATGTCAGAAAGTGTCCCTTCCAGAATCCCTCATTCCTACTGCATCTCTCTGGTGTATCAATCTGCTAATGTCTGATGTACGTCTGCTCTCAGTGGCTGCAGTGCTCTGTCAGTGAATACTGCATGCTCCAGAATTCATCAATCTATAATTAGACACACACGCCACCAATAGTCCACTCCTCTCCCTCCTAAAAGTGCTAGTTTTCACTCCTGGACAAATCTCCTTTCTAAAAAAACACTGGGCTGTATGTTTTTATCATGCTTACACACAACCATGTGGTGATTTATGAGGAATTGGACCCAATAAAAAAATTATTTATATCTGCAGCATTTTTTAGGATTTGAATCTAAAAACATTTTATCATGAGCATGTCTGCTATGCACTTTTCATAAAATCAAATGACATTGTTATCTTTAATGTATGTATCAACAATTTCCTACATCTTGCTCATATAGTACAAATATAGTGTAGCATTATTAATATGATAGGCCCAAGCCTATTCTTCCCACACAGCTCTCCTTTACAACACCTACAATCTTACACCTCTCCCTTCATATTCTATCACTAATTCTGGACCTGTTTACCTGTTTTCAAGGTATATTCAGGTAAAAAGTTACAACAGATTACTTAGGTTTAAGTCAAATCAATACCAATCAAATGGGAACATTTTTCAATGAGCCTACAAACATATTGGTGTGTTTGCCTGGAACATTCCTAAGTACCGCACGGTAGTGGGGAGGGGTTATAAATTCCTCCAGAAATGCTTCTACACCCCAATCTTTACCTGTCTTATCTAGGAGCAAGCAAGGTACCTCCATAAAGAATTTACACAAGGGAGTTGGCAGTTAATCAAAGACCCCAATAACACTTTGACAAGACTAAGATTGAGCAAATATGGTGGGCAGATCTGATCATGAATAAATATGAAACATCAAACTGATATATCAAAATTCACATTCCATCAAATGAACATGCACCATTTTAAAGTGTGCTTTAATTGTATATATATATATTTATATATTCTATAATTACATGTATTTGGTAACTTCATAGTAACTTTTAAAGGAAATATAATTGATGTACATGTATATAAACTTTGCAGAAATAATGCTTGTATTGTAAACATATCAATCACACTTATAGAAAAGAAAAAAGGCTCTGAATGTTGATTTGCATCTCAACAAATCAGTATTTCACCCTGTAATGATTGTGATTTTCAATTATTTCCATATACAGACTGTATAAAATACAAAACTTGATCATGCTTACCATTCACATCTTACTACCACCATTTTACAATCACTGAGATCTGTCTGTCGACTGTCTGTTATAAAATTCTGTCTGAGTTATATTATATGTGACTGAAGTAAAATCAAACTTCATTTTTTTGCTAATGTCTAACGACTTTGTATAATTTCACATTTTTAAGACTGAAGGCAATAACTGTAGAAATCTTTTCAGATTTTTTTTTTTAATGTTATTAATAATTTTCTTATTTTTCTACCTCTGACATTACATGATGTACTCAAAGAAACATATGGTCAAAGTCATTTCTAAAAGGTTATTGGGATATGTTGGACTGAAATCTGCAATCCATTATCTAAAAGCCTTGTCTTAATTTTGAATATTGTTCCCATGGCTCAATGAAGTGCATTGATTCTCCCTCAAAACCAAAAGATCTACTAGCTAGGTCACCAGAGAAGAAATCATTCAAATGCATTCTCATGTTTATCAAATCTTTTTACATTAAACTTAAGAGTTAAACTGTTTCCATTGATTAAACAATTTTTAATCTTATAGTAAACATTTTTATTAAATCAAAAAAGTCTTTTAAAAAGGAAATATCCATTTTTATTCCTATTTAATTTATACCCCTTTACCAATTAAGGATCCTTTGTTGCAAGTTTGGTAAAAATTGACCCAGTGGCCATTAAGAAGAAGTCTATAAAAATGTTAAATGCTTGCAGAAAACATAGGTAATCAGAGATTACAGAGCTCACCTCAACGAATGTTGTCTTTAAGTAAGGCAAAGTCACACAATTAATCAACAAAAAGTGTACATTCCAAAAATGAAAATATTTAAGCAATTTTGATGTGATACTTTGAAATAGACCTACATAAACAATTTAAACTAGTTCTTCTTCATGAAAATGTAATCAAAATCCAGCATCTGAAGCAAATTTGAGAATTTTCATCTCTTGATGAACACTTTAACCTGTTCACTCAACCGCAAAATTAAGTCAGATTCAGCATCCGAAGCAAGCCCGGTAGTGTGCATCCTTAGATGTATCATCCATGCAAGTTTGGTCAACATAGGGCTAAAAGTTACTTGGAAATGAAACCTACACCAAAAACTTTAACCTGTTCACTCAACCGCAAAATGTAGGTCAGATTCAGCATCCGAAGCAAGCCCGGTAGTATGCATCCTTAGATGTATCATCCATGCAAATTTGGTCAACATAGGTTTCATAGTTACTTGGAAATGAAACCTACACCAAAAACTTTAACCTGTTCACTCAACCGCAAAATGTAGGTCAGATTCAGCATCCGAAGCAAGCCCGGTAGTATGCATCCTTAGATGTATCATCCATGCAAGTTTGGTCAACATAGGGCTTATAGTTACTTGGAAATGAGACCTGCACCAAAAACTTTAACCTGTTCACTTTACCGGAAAATGTAGGTCAGATTCAGCATCCGAAGCAAGCCCGGTAATATCCATCCTTAGATGTATCATCCATGCAAGTTTGGTCAACATAGGCTTATAGTTACTTGGAAATGAGACCTGCACCAAAAACTTAAACCTGTTCACTCAACCGGAAAATGTAGGTCAGATTCAGCATCCGAAGCAAGCCCGGTAGTATGCATCCTTAGATGTATCATCCATGCAAGTTTGGTCAACGTAGGGCTTATAGTTACTTGGAAATGAAACCTGCACCAAAAACTTAAACCTGTTCACTCAACCAGAAAATGTAGGTCAGATTCAGCATCCGAAGCAAGCCCGGTAGTATCCATCCTTAGATGTATCATCCATGCAAGTTTGGTCAACATGGGGATTATAGTTACTTGGAAATGAAACCTACACCAAAAACTGCACCAAAAATGTTAACCTGCTCCAAAAACATTAACCTGGTCATTCCTTTGCAGAAATTGCAGCATCTGAAACTTTGACTGGTACAATGAAACACACTATAACCATCTTCCATGCATGTCTAATCAATATAGGACATAGAAGTACTTAAAAAGAAAACTGCTCCAAAAAAACTTAACCTGGGACGCCGACACCGACGCCGACGCCGAGGGTATTACATAAGCTCCCCCAACTTCGTTGAGGTGAGCTAAAAAAGGCAAGGGTCAGCTAAAAATGGTGGTGCTACTTCTCAATAATTAAAAAATAAGACAGCGATAAAACACCAGTCTGTCTGGAGTCTGCCAAACAAAACCAAATCTTTACCAGACTGTATGTCATAAAAAAGTCTTAAGGCAGTCTACTCTACAGATGTATTAAAGTAAACCATGAAGATGACCTGAGAACCTCTCCCGTGGTAAAACAGACTTCTGATTAGTTAAAAAAGAGCTATATAAAATGTATGTACTTGCAAATAAAGTTACATCTCTTGTCAATGATTTTAATACACAATTTAAATTACTAATACTTTAAAAATAATCTACAGAGTAGGTCATTGCTAGATAAAATATTACCAATGAAATGTTGAGCCAGATAATAATTTCAGCAGATTTCATATTATAGAGAAAGTCTCCTAGGTGATGTGAAGGAGGAAAGCTTAAGATGTCAAGCTACAGTAAACCTCGGTTATCACAAAGTCACTGCCACCTATGAAATTACTTCACTTTATATCTGTAATTCATTATATTTGTATAAGGAATTTGTTAATTTTTTATAGATATTAATAAATTCGTTATATTCATGAATTTTGCAATATCTGTGTTTGTACTAAACAAGTTTTACTGTATATCAATCTAATTAAAATTAGATGTTTGATCCGCTTTACTTGCTAAAAATTTTGCTGTTAATTTTAATGCATCCATTATGTCTATATAATAAAATATTATTGTTTTCCATAAATACTGAGTCTGCATGAGGTTTCATTTTTGAACTTTCTACCTGCAACATATTGCACTTGTACAAACCTAATCTAAGCTTAAGTAATAGTACTTAATATGCTGAGGAGATTCTGCACTTTACTGGAAGAAGAGATACCCTTGACACAGGAACATTGCAACATGTGAGCACCAAATTTCTTGATAAAGTCATACTGATGATGAATATGGCAAAATATTTGCCAAAAAATGATTACCTCATAGATTAACTATTTTGCATAATAATTTTTGCAAAATTGTTCGTTAACAAAGTAATCATTTTTTGGCAAATATTTTGTTGTATTCATCATCAGTATGACTTTATCAAGAAATTTGGTGTTCACCATAATGTGCCATTCCTGCATTTGGCCATAAAATTAAAAATGTAAGTAAAGCAAAAAGTAGGTAAAAATAACTACTCTGGGTAGGTTTAAATATCAACGTAGCTAAAAGTAGCTACGTAGGTAGAAATAGTCTTTTTGGTCTACAGGTCAACAATTTTTTTTGCTATATGGCTTGATTTAGCTATATAGCTTTATTAAGCTATCGTAGCTTATATGCGATTTTATCACAATTTTTTCTCAAATGTTTTATTTTTTCAGCATGTGCAAAACGTCACACCTTGGTGCAGTGGAAATATAAGACTTTGAACTCTTCTGAATACAATGCATGTAAAAGTCACTCACCAAATTGTGTCTCCTTGAAAGACTTTGTACACAATTTTTAAAAGTTTGGGGGCTATTGATGAGTGACCACACAGTTATTTCTTGAATGAAATTATAAAGGAGGTCAGTTATGGCCAACAGGATAATTGATTAGTAACAGTTCAACACAATGAGAGGTCATACTTATCCACGCCTCAACGCACTCAGTAGGACACTTTCCCCATGTACAGTTACCCAAACAATGGAAATTTATCTATTGCTTAAAAGTATTCAACAACAGCAATGTTAGAACTTTCTATGATTTAGGTTGTTTTTTGATAGCCCAAAGTACATATATGAATAGTCAAATACTTGCGACTTTTAATGATACGGAAAGATGTCTTCATTTTAGAAAGAACATCTCTTTATTCAACTCATTAAGTTAATAATTAACTTAATGTGTTGAATAACAAGATATTCTTGATGTGGTTATAAGCCTAACGTTATATATACAAAGGAAGTCAGAATTTCCTCAACTCAAGTTTCACCTGTCTTCCAAGTTATTTTCCATCATAAAATAAATATGACGGTGTTTTATCTAACAATGTTAAAAAATAGGATGCTCATTACTTTTTCGATAAAGTGTGCCTATTTAGTCATTATTTCGCTCACCTGATTCTGTATTCATCACAATCCATCAAATATCAATATGTAAACACCGTTTTGATTGGACGATTTAAATATAATAAACTCGAACCGGACGGATGGAATCTTCCCGGAATAAGTAAATAGTTGTTAAAAATCACACTATTTAAATCAGAGACGTATACATCTTTGTTTAAATATATCATGTAAAATGTGATAAAAAAGCTGAATTTTACTTGAAGGTCATAAATAACTTGTTAAAAGTATTGATGAATACTAGTTGTAAAAAGGTTCTTAAAATATTATCATCATTTTTATGTCAAATATCTGATATAAGAAAAAATACTTTAGTCATAAATGAGTAACTATATTGTACTGAATCATTTGTATGTATTTAGTATTTGATAATTACAATACATAATTTGCTACACCAATTGTTTGTATCCTGGTTGTGTTCTACTGTATTTTCATACTTATCACTATGCCTTTACCAATTACTGTAATTGTGTTTGTGCCAATAAAATATTTGTATTTGTATTTGTAAATAAAGAATCTTTTTAAAAATGTTTTTAATGTGACTAGCCATAGAATCCAGTATAAGAATGTCATGAGTGACACACTTCAAGGTCACAGAATGCACAAATTTTACTAGCTGCATGACATTAGATTTGATGATCATGGGCTTCAAAGTGTCAAATTAAGTTATGCATCAAAACCAAGAAATTGAAAATGATAACCAGTAAATTCAAAAAGTTAAGTTCACCATGTCCACCTTCTTTTGAATTGACATATGTAATCGAGGTGCTTAGTTGCATCAACTCTCAAGATTTAATTGCTGATCCCAGCTAGGCCATTATTAGTGTTGTGGAATATCAGTTTTCACAAAAAATATTTTATGTCAAATTTACAGTATATACCCTTGGATATATATTTTTAAACTCCCCGCACAATATATAGGATATATATCGTTATGTATCTTTATGCCTAGTAAGTTTAATTCTTGAAAAATTCTTTTCAATATTGCTACTTTTGTTTTTATTTCCCTAATTATCTCCCCTTCCGGCTTGTTTAAAGGTTAAAAAAACTATATACCCTACTTTTAGCATAAATGAAAGCCCTTAATTTAAAAAAAAAAAAAACCTCTTTGACAAATCTGACAAAAGTTGATCTAGGGGTTCTTAAATTAAAGTTTATTCACACTGCACATGGTCATATAGCAGTAGATGTTTGAACCTTTAGTAGCTAAAAAATTCTTAATTTTTAAATTCAATAAACCAAAAGAAAACTTTAAAGCAGTATTTTATTAATATATTATTCATGTTGTGTAACAATGACAATGTTTAGACCTATCCAACATTATAATAAGGAATAAAAGACAATTATATAGTTATGTCATTAATGGCCACTTTAGAAAACTATTTAAACAGAGGGACCTATATACAGTAACAGTACTGGTAAATAGGTCCCTGGTATGAAGATAATTGTTATAGCTTTTTCACATGTACCTGGTAACAAAATACAACATTAAACATACCATCTTGGATATAAATAACACATACAGCATAATATTATACCACATACTATCATCAATAATGCCACAATTGTGTAGAAGTGCATGCATTTCTAAAAATAACAAAGTGCACCAAATCCATAAAAAATAATACATGTAAGTGTCCATGACATGACAAGCACCTGCTGGAAATCTGTACAGGAAATATACCAGTCAGCTGGAGCACATAAACATCATCTACACAACAATTCTTATGATAAAATACTATCAAAAATATTATGCTATATTATTCAGTTTCTAATACTAAGAGATTTTCAAAGAATTTCACAGCAAACAGCAATGCATTGTTTTAACAAGTACATGTATCTTGCAAATACTAAAAAATTCTCTGGAAAATTATATGCAATATGATGTCAGAACATACATGAAATGAATTTCTGCAACCTTCAAAGAACAAGTATTCTAAAATAAAAAAAAGAAGATAAAAAAAAAATGTTCAGAAATTACACCGGTAAATAATATTAAAGCTGATCCATGTAACTTTTTAAGTAACTTGCTGATTCTACAAACTAAAGATGGTGCTTATATGAAGGGGTGCAAAGCTTTGAGCTAGATGAAAAATGAGAAATTAATAAAAAAAATAGTCTAACAGACAAATACATGCATACCCAATGCAAAAAACAAATCATTAAAATCAATTGAAAAATATATGATATTTAATATTAAAATGACTTTGAATATATACTGTGTATCTCCACAAAAGAAATATATTATAACAGTTAATGTGGGAAGTCTTTAAAAAACAAGAGGCCCATGGGCCACATCGCTCACCTGAGAAGCTTTGACCATTTTTTCTTTACCAGATTTCACCCTTGTTATACATAATGCATTCCCACCCTACCCCACTGATCATAATTTAGACATTTTGAAATCTACACTACCCCATGATCCTTCCATGGGCACATATGTTTCAGCTTTTTTGGCCCAGTGGTTCCTGAAAAGAAGATTTTCAACGATTTTTCCTATATATTTCTATGTAAAACTTTGATTCCCTATAATGGCCCCGCCCTTCCCCCGGGGGTCATGATTCCTACAATTTAGAATTTACACTACCCCAGAATGCTTCCACATAAGCTTCACTTTTTCTGGCCCAGTGGTTCTTGAGAAGAAAATTTTCAAAGATTTTTCCTATATATTTCTATATAAAACTTTGATTCCCCATTGTGGCCCCGCCCTTCCCCCGGGGGTCATTATTTGAACAATTTAGAATCTACATTATACCAGGATGCTTCCACATAAGTTTCAGCTTTTCTGGCCCAGTGGTTCTTGAGAAGAAGATTTTCAAAGATTGTTCCTATATATTTCTATGTAAAAATTTGATTCCCCATTGTGGCCCCACCCATCCCCCGGGGGTCACTATTTGAACAATTTAGAATCTACATTATACCAGAATGCTTCCACATAAGTTTCAGCTTTTCTGGCCCAGTGGTTCTTGAGAAGAAGATTTTCAAAGCTTTTTCCTATATATTTCTATGTAAAACTTTGATTCCCCATTGTGGCCCCGCCCTTCCCCCGGGGATCATGATTTGAACAATTTAGAATCTACACTATACCAGGATGCTTCCATATAAGTTTCAGCTTTTCTGGCCCAGTGGTTCTTGAGAAGAAGATTTTCAAAGATTGTTCCTATATATTTCTATGCAAAACTTTGATTCCCCATTGTGGCCCCGCCCTTCCCTCTCAAAAATAGAATCTACACTACCCCAGGATGCTTCCACATAAGTTTCAGCTTTACTGGCCCAGTGGTTCTTGAGAAGAAGATTTTTTAATGACCCCACCCTATTTTTGTCTTTTCTTGATTATCTCCCCTTGCGAGGGAATATGTCCCTTCATTTTAACAAATTTAATTCCCCTTTACCCAAGGATGCTTTGTACCAAGTTTGGTCAAAATTGGCCCAGTGGTTCTTGAGAAGAAGTCGAAAATGTGAAAAGTTTACGGACAGACAGACGGACGGACGGACGACGGACAAAATGTGATCAGAAAAGCTCACTTGAGCCTTCGGCTAAGGTGAGCTAAAAATAAATTACACGATGAACAACCACAGATGTTAATGCTGCATGGTGTTGAATATGAACATGAAAGCTTGTATATCACAAAAGTGAGCTAACAAGATTTTGTGCATTTGATAGAAATCTGTGCTAAACTAGATTTAGAGAGGAAAAAATATTTCTAGTACAGAAATTGTATATGTCCTGGGGAGAAACCCATACACAGAAAACAGATAAGTTAAAATTTCAAATCTGTATACCAGTGATCTTTGAAATACTGGAGAATGAAGAAAACAATATAAAATGTTCACTTGTTTTTTTTTTATCTGCATATTTTACAAAACTTGCAACGAAATCATTGCTATCAAAAATCCAGATTTGACTTAGTTTATGGTCTTGGGGCCTGGTTTATAAAAAATTACAAAAAAAAATGTTTTTCTTTGATCTTTTCCCTAATATTCTTTTTCATTTTACTGCCATGTTCATTTATACATAATTTGTTTAAAATAAAACCTTAAAAAGGATCACAGCAACAGTAGACTTTGATGAAAATTAACTTATCTATACACAAAATATACATGTATTATAGTAAAGACTCAGACATGTTTCAGTCATTGTCAAAATTTCTAAAAATAATCAAACAAGAAACTTCAAAGTATTACCTATAAACATTTACAAAATCATCTTAAATTGTCACAGCTGATCTCCTATGAGTGTGATTCTATATTAAGAATTTAAAATTCTATAATTCATTTATCAGTTATTAATTAATTATGCCAAATGCTCAGGTGTAAATCTAGAAAAAATCACTTTTTTTGACAAAGCAGTGTATGAATTTTCTTACAATGATAAATAACAGTAATTTATTCTCCTTGTCTATTGTAAATTTCTTCCTCTGTTTCTTTCTCCTTCTCTCTTTCCAAATCTACCAGGAAAGACAAAACAGAATCAAGATTGAATTAACAACAAATAAATGTGAACATATTTGATAAAAGTGAACATTCCTTAAACATGTGAACTCACTTATATAGGTCAACATACACAGGTGAACATACATGAAACAGACTCAACAGTTAAACATATTGACACAGGTGAACATTCCTGACACAGGTGAATATACCTGACATGTTAATGTACATGGTATAAGTTAATATACTGGCATAACTATTCATTTCAAAAGCCAAACCAAATATAATTGAAAATAAGTAACAGAACATGACAAAGGTGAACAATTGAACATACCTGACACAGGTGAACATACCTTACACAAGTGAACATTCTGACACAAGTGAACATACTGACACAAGTAAACACACTGACACAGGTGAAGATACCTAACACAAGTGGACATACCTTACACAAGTGAACATACTGACACAAGTGAACATACCTTACACAAGTGAACATACTGATACAGGAAAACATACTTACATAAGTGAACATACTGACACAAGTGAACATACTGACACAGGTGAACATACTGACATAAGTAAACACACTGACACAGGTGAACATACCTAACACAAGTGAACATACCTTACACAAGTGAACATACTGGCACAAGTGAACATACCTTACACAAGTGAACATACTGATACAGGTGAACATACTTACATACTGTAAAACGAGAAAATTTGGCGCATACGTATTTTAGCGCAAACGCAAGTGGGAATGCATTGGCGCAAATATATTTTAGCGCTTGCACTTGTCAGTAAAATATATAATTGTGATATTTTAGTTTTTTTTATCCACACCCGTATTTGACTTTTTGGTTAGTCAAGCACGGAAACACATTAGTACTCCCGTGCCATAAATCAGTAAACATTCGTTACCTTTACAGCAGTACATGTACGTGTTGCTATCACATGGACGTGGCACAATGTTAAAATTTATTTTATTTCTATTTTCAATTAAAAGAAGTGGAGTATTTACTCATTTAAATCACATTAAAACAATGCATGCATCGACAGAAAATTACTTGGATAAAACGGTAATCCTAATCAGGTATTGTCTGCAAGCTCAATCGCCATGCTTGATTGCATTGTTTACCTCGAGGCGATTGATGATTGACACGCCGAGAAGCCAAACTTTGAAGGCGCTAATGATAATTATCGGGTAACAACTACTGGGGTAACAATAGTTTAATTAAATTATAATTTGGCAGAACTGTCTGTCTTCTGAACATGTGCAGTACTAGTGTGTATATAAAATCCAATGACCCTTAGACATTACGTAATCGAGCGTTCTGGTTAACATGTACTTGTGTAAAAGCTTTGAACACGCACAAAAAATATTATTTAGAAATCCTTTAGCGCACAATAAATTTTAGCGCTCAGGGGCTCTTGCGCCAAAGGCGCTAAAATTAGTAGTGCGCCAAATATTCTCGTTTTACAGTAAGTGAACATACTGACACAAGTGAACATACTTACATAAGTGAACATACTGACACAAGTGAACATACTGACACAGGTGAACATACCTAACACAAGTGAACATACCTTACACAAGTGAACATACCGACACAAGTGAACATACTGACACAAGTTAACATACTGACACAAGTGAACATACCTTACACAAGTGAACATACCGACACAAGTGAACATACTGACACAAGTGAACATACTGACACAGGTGAACATACCTAACACAAGTGAACATACCTTACACAAGTAAACATACTGATACAGTGAACATACTGACACAAGTGAACATACTGATACAGGTGAACATACCTTACACAAGTGAACATACTGACACAAGTGAACATACTGATACAGGTAAACATACTTACATAAGTGAACATACTGAAACAGATGCAGGTGATGCATACTGACACATCCTACCCTACCTGACACAACTGAACATAATGAAACTGGTGCAGGTGAACTTACTGAAACAGGTAAACAAACCCAACACAAGCCAACCTATTGGTATGACTGAACATTCCAAATGCTATGAAAACAAACTAAATATAACTGAATATATCTTACACAAGTCCACATACCTAACATAGGAAACCATACCTATCACTACTGAACATACCTGGCACATTGACATGCATGGTATTTCCATCTCCGACCTGGACATTATAGTTGTGTTGATGTTGGTGGAGATGGTGGTGTTGATGAAGGTGAAGGCACCCTTAAACAAATAATACCCAGATTTAAAGTAAGCAGAATTATAAACAAATGATACCCAGATATAAAGTTAGCAGAATTATAAACAAATAATATCCAGATTTAAAGTGAGCAGAATTATAAACAATTCTACTACGATTATTGCAGAGATCAAAGAAATGCCGCGGACATTATTCTCCAACAAATCACGAAAGTCATCAAAAAATTATCAGATCAGAAACACGTATCAAACCTGTGCAGTTGAAGTGTACATTTGACCTAAGAATGAAATACTTATTTAGACCACATCGATGTGTCATTTTTTTGCAATTCAAACACTGTATATTGCAGAAAGTAGCTGATTAATGTAGGTTTCTAAAGCAAAGCGTTGCTGTTTCACGAACCTCCTTACACCATATTTAAACTCCATGATTTTAGTGATTAAGTGGTAAAATAGGAAATGTTATTGTATATTGATAGAGATTATTCTATATAAGCTACTAACAGATTTATAGTTAATAAAAGGCTAATTTTAATGCAATGAATTGTCTGCATTCTGTTCACATATTTACACTATGGTGTTAAATGGAACAGTGTTAGCGCAGCATAGTGACCTAATTCGTTTCTCTATAGAGAAATGATCAGTCATAGTTTAGAGCTGTTAGTACATGTAGTAGAATAGAAATGAAGTCCTTGTTGTCGTGAATGATGCAGAATAACCTCCTCGGTCTCGAAATCTTGTTTGAAATATAAAGAGCCTTGGCTAAATTAACGCCTCAACTTTTATCTTTCAAACAACTTTCTCGACCTCGAAGGTTATTCTGCAACATTCACAAAAACTTTATTTCTTAAATAAAACCCAGATATAAAGTTAGCAGAATTATAAACAAATAATACCCAGATATAAAGTTAGCAGAATTAGAAACAAATAATACTGTATACAGGGAAATTTTCGCCCCCGTTTTATTTTTGCCCCTTTTGCCCTATCCTTCATCGGGCGAATTTTAAATGGGGCAAATTCAAATTACACCTCACAATTTCTTAAACAGAACTATGACTGGGCGAATTTAAAACAGGGCAAAACTATCACTGGGTGAAAATAACCCTGTATACAGTACCCAGATATAAAGTGAGCAGAATTAGAAACAAATAATACCCAGATATAAATTTAGCAGAATTAGAAACAAATAATACCCAGATATAAAGTGAGCAGAATTATAATCAACAAGAAGGGTTTCCAACAGCAAGATTCACTAAGAGCCGTATTCAGCTCTATAAAACTTAAAGTCAAAATTAATCAAAGAACTATATACTGTAAAGTAAATTCTTCCCCCCTCCCCCCATTATATTCATATTTTGAAAAAAAAAAATGAACTTGAAATACGACATGTACACAAGTAAAATACATTTTAATTCTTGGAGGGAAATTTCTTATTTGTACAATGAAAGCATGGAATCTCTATAAGCACAAATGTACCGGTAAAAGACATGGCAACATGGTGAACGTAGATTTAAATGGTCTATAGATTGGATTATTATACCTCTACTGTAATTACTCTATATAAAATTAATACCATAAAACTGTCTATTTTCCCGAGAAGAGACTATTTCCCTCATCTGAAGACTATTCTCTGGAAAATCAGAGCTACTCCCTGAGACTACTCCCTCATATTTATTAGTAATTCTAACCAATCAAAGTGTTCAGTGGGTGAAGCATTCAAGGAATCTCGAATCTGTGACGTCATGTTATTAGCAATGTAAGTATGACGTCAAAACATTTCGACATGTGATATGACAAAATCATACTTGAGTTCTAGCAAAATGAAGACAAGAACAATTCTTCGAAATGTCAGTGAAAATACTTTTTAAAAATAATTTCATTGTTTTAGGACACGATGCATTACTTATTATACAGTCTTTTAAACCACATGCATTTGTAATTAAGCCTCTACAGTGGTTTTTTTAAATGTTGGAATATTGGGTAAAAAAAATTAAATTGCCTATGATTGTTTTGGTATAATAAAACAGTTATGGAATGGGAACTTGGAAAATAGAAAATTTATGGTCCCTCTCAGCAGGAAACTATTTCCCTCGGGGGCTTCCCCACCTCGGGAAATAGTTTCCTCCCTAGGGGAACCATAAATTTGCTATTTCCCTTGTACCCATATTCCATAACTGTATACTACTTTATGGTAAAGTGCACCTATTTCTTTTCATTAAAGGCAGTGATACAGTGTTTTGATTTGATAACAATCTTAAGGACAGATGATACAAACATTTTTTTTTCTTTGGATGAGACTTAATATCATATGTCAAAGGTTTAGAAAAGTAGATAATTTTTTATTTAGTCTTTATTTTTTCTCCTTGGCCATGGACTATGTGAAATAGACTTGGAAAATATTAGTTAATATTTCAATAAAATTTCAAATATTAACAAATCATACTCAGTAGAGGTTTACAGAAGAAAACAAAATTCAGAATATGTTAGTTTGATGCTAAAAGTGAAATATAAACCTTCAAAAAATATACCAAGCCAGGTAAATTTTATGAGGAAAAACAAAATGGTAAAAATAAGCCTATATATGTGATTTTTCTGATTTTTCACCATTTTGCGTTTCCTCATAAAATTTACCTGGCTTGGTATATTTTGGTAAAGTTTATATGACACTTTTAGCACCAAGTATTAACTAATATTTCCAAGTTCATTTCATTTTCCAAGTCTAAGGATAAAAATCAAAGAATTATCCACTTTTCTAAACCTGTTAGATGAAATTAAGAAATCCTCCAAAGAAAAAATTTGTTTGTATCATCTGTCCCTAACTTCTGTAGATAGAGGGTACATACCAGGGTTACATGTGGAGGAGTTTCGTGCCCACTCATCATTTGATGGAAGTCTGGCCAACTGATCTAAAATCAATATAACATGTCTTCTTTTAAAAAAAAACAGCAAATTTATAAATTTTCTCACTCTTTTTAAATCATGGCTATATGATTAATCTATCAAACAAATACAAGTAACAAAACAAGTAAAAATCAAAGCAGGTCTGTAGGACAAAAGCATAAAGTATAGCTATCATTTTGAAAGTACACTATATATCTGCAAAATTATTGGGAAGAAGATTTATCCCTAAGATCTTAAGGCCTCAGAAAGAAGTTCATATACATGTATTTACATTCACTGTGTTTTTCTACTAAGCCAAGTGTGAAATTAATTTGAATACCATTTCATGTATACTCATGCATATAATTATACTGTACACAGAGAAATGTGCGCTAACGTGACATCACAATAAGGCTACAGCGACATTAGTAAAAGAATAACGATATACATGTAGCTAGGGCTAGGGCTAGAAATTCAAATTAAGCATATTTTTGGTGCTTCCAAACAAGTAAAATGTAAATATAAGGAATGTTTTTAAGTTTACTGTGAATTATTGGTGTGTGAATCACACAGACTTCCACATAGGCAAATATTTTACATGAAGCGCTAGCCATACATGTGATAATTTCTAGACCAAAATACTGTACTGTAGTCTTCAAAATACTGGAATTTTGGTGAAAATACTGTACATTGCCAATCAACTGTAAAACTGTACAAAATATTGACAAAAAATCAATGAGAGATGTTCAATTTTTATTAATAAAGAACAAGGTTCATTTTCGCTTTATTTGGCCCTGTGAATTTCTGAAAAATTAAACTGCATAGTTTTAGTTAACAATGCATTAAATATCACTTATATCTTTGGTGACTGCGTATCTATTAAAAATGATGTCATTTTCTGGCTAGTCAATGCATTATGACGTCACGAAATGTGTCAATTTCCTCATACTCTGAAAAAGTCTACAAAAACGGCCAATTCTCAAAGCTATTTTTTGATATTGATATAAAGCGCAACCTCTGATCTAATATATGAACTAGTAAATGAAAGATCCGTTTCTTAGGATTAGAAACATGTTTTATTTTTTAGATCAGAGAGTGCGCTCATATTATTTTTCTTCACTGAAAGTACTCAATTATACCTGTTTACCTAAAAATTCAAGAACATTGCAATTTCATAAAGCTAGTTCTCCTAGACCTGGACTTTTAGAAGAATTTTTTTTAATAGGATATGAAAGCACCAAGTCTCTACTTTATTTTAATGCTTCAAATAGAAAATCAAGTGTTGATCAATTTATTGGTATATCTACAGGGCCATTTTATGCATAAAGTGAACCGACTTCTTTCAAATCAATGTACAGGTACACCACTGCATGTAATATTATACGTAATTTTACTAATTTCAAGAAACTCTTGAAGATTTTAAATTTCAGCAATCTCTAATTCTCTATGGTAAATGATGAACATGGTAAAAAGTACATTGTTTACTCAATGCAAGAGTCAGGTTTCCATTCATCCGCATTTTTTAAATGATACCAAGAGCAATTCTCTTAATTTGTATTTGAATGGACAATACTTATGCCTAATAATTAAGCAAATAATATACTAAATTTCATTTTGCTGTCACAAAGTTACTCTGATTCTTAAGAATGCTGTTTTTTCTTTGAAATGTCTTTAATTTCTATCTACAAAATTTTAACAAATTATAGATGCAGTTGAAAATTCCTTGATAAGGGTCCTGTTAAAAATATTCAGCCTAACAAAAAGCTTTGCCGATGTAATTATCACGGGAATGTTTCACACCTTTGTTCATGCTGTTTTGCTTACATTGACCAAGAGCAGAAAGTCATGCATTGATCGAGATTTCCGATGTTGCAAGAATGAAAGAAAAATGGCGGTTTCCAGTTAACATTTCAAAATACGGTACAAATTTTCATTTCCCGTGAATTTTAGTGTACCGCCATGAGCCTGTGAATAGGGTAAAAAATAAGTGACATTTTGTGTACCGCCAGTATATCACATGTATGGCTAGCGCGCTTCATGAAATATGCCTGCGTGATAAGTCAGTGTGACTCACACACCAATAAATCACACAAAATTTAAAAAATCATAATACTTTTTCACACTTCAGAACATAATAGCATAAATTCAGAATTTTAGAAATACAATGCAAAAGAAAACTGCAGTTACCTGATCTTGAATTCTTTGAAGTGCAGAACTCTGCTGCAATTTCTTCTAATTTTTCATCTGAAAATTTCAATAGTTAATTTTATTTTCATTCCATAAGTATTCAAAAGGCCCATGTTATAAGAAAAAAAGAAACCACATTAAAATTAAGAGAGCTCTCTGGCTGGGCCTTGTCCTTGTAAAATGAAAACTTTGCTCTCTTTCAATACGAAAATATACCGGTAATTACATGTAATTAAAGTTTCAAACTGTTCAAATGCATTTTTAAAACCATTGAGGGTTAACATCAGCAAAAGAATAAAATAAATTTTTATCAGAAACCAATAAGCTTTTGAATTGAAAACTGAACAAAACCAATCCAGAAGAACTGACAGGGTACCTGATACGTCGTGAATTTTCTGAGTGGCCCTCCAGCGAGGATCTGACTTCTTCTGTTGATTCTGGTAAACTACTTGAAGCACTCCCTCCTTGTTAAGACTGTGAAGATATCTATTTATACCTCTTTTAGAGGCATTTTTACCTATGCATTTCTTGGCAACATCTAGTGGTTTCTCTCCATTTGATGGTGTTGATTGAAAGTATTGAATAATGGAAACAATTATGTCTGAAATATAGAACTACACTGTTATCAGGTTCTATCACATGATTTATACTGGTATACACAACAAAGCAAGAACTTAAGAACTAAGATTAGTCAATTCCTCTTCCTAAATACTGTTATCAAACAATTACTGTTTAAAAAACTAACAAAATTGTAGGAAAATCTATTTAAGGGAAGAAATAATTCTTCAAACTTTTGTTAAAGCATAAACTATTAGAAATCAGTCAAATAAAACTGTAGTAAAGTTTTCATCAAGATGAATATAATTTTTTGAACACATAATTTTAGCATATAAAACTCTGCATCATGTGTACTGGGTAATCATACCTTTGTGTTGTTTTACAGCAGGGTCTATTCTTGACAGTTGCCATGACTGCACTGAACTAGAAGTCTCAATCTGACCCCCTCCAACAACTTCAAAAATCAGAGGAAGGCAAAATATTATTATGTTGCAAATTACTTCATATCTCAGACATTTTCCTCGTTCTCATATGCTTTAGTAATACATTTATTTAAGATTTTACATGTTCAAATGTTGCACATGCTTCAATAACAATTAAGCATAATATCTTTTTGCCTTGATGATTTAGTAGAATACAGTTTTCAACACCTTCACAAAAGCAAACCAACTGATATTTGCTCACCCATGCTAACTGTCTGGTCAGAGTTCTGTCTCGGAATGACAGGTTGCCTACCTTTACAAGGAATTAATGCACCATCTGAAAATTTGAGTTTTAATTAGAATCTTAATTTGTTTTTATTTTAGCGTAATTTCCAACCATGTCAAAATACATGAGGACCCTGCTCATGTATTCTCAATTGATTTAAAAAAAATGAACTTTTAAGAAAACTACTGTGAAGGTTTTATTAATTTTTTCCTCTTTCTTCTATATACCTGAAGGTGATTGGTTAGTTTAAAATATATTTTATTCATATAAAGAAATGGATTGAACAGCAGGCAAAAATGCCTATGATCGTTCTCTCCATAGGTCAATGTACAATTACAAGTACATGTAAACACTGAAAAATGTATGAAGAGTAGATTATAAATTGGTTACCAGGTTCTTTTAAAGAGGTTGCCTCTAGTCTTCTTGACAAAGCTGTAAAATAAAGGATATGCATCAGGTCACTCTTTAGATCTAAGTAAAATATACACAAAATGTTATTTTTTTTTGCTTATAATTTTCCTGACAAAGGTGATCAACTTGTAAAAAAATGAATGATGGAGGAATCTTTCATTAATTGAAAATTATTATTATAAGAAAAATAAATTAATGTCTTGGGGAATTCAAATTGTGCCATCTAAAACATAAAATGTTTAGTTGATCAGTCACTTAAACAGTGAAAGTTATCCCAGAATTATCTATCTGACAGTAAGGTACATGAAAAATTCTTATCTTTTCCATTTAATGAGTATCATGTTGTGAAATGAATAAGAATCTACATATGTATATCATTGATTGAAACTTTTTCATACCTTCATCCTCTAATCCGGATAATGTCACCTCTTCAGCCTCTTGTATAAATGGTGTTGAGGAGCAATTGGCACCAGATCTCTCTCTACTTGTCACTTTAGGGTTTGTAGCATCAGATGCCTGAGAAACATTATATGCAGCTCTCAAAGGACTACTGGTAATGGAACTGTTATATTCTGCATTTGATGCAGAATTATTTGGGACTTTAGGACTAGTGCTTGAGCTTGAATCACTGGGTGAGGTCCTGGCCTGATGTAGAGCTTTTAGTTCTGTCTCAGGCTCTGGTGCCTCTTTTAAAAATGTTTCCTTTTGTTTTTGTATCACAACAGGTCCCGGCAGTGAGTCATCAAACCTCTCTGCGTCAAGAGACAGATCATCCCCTGTATCATTAATACTACAGGAAAACCAGAGTCCCTGAGAATTCGAGTTAATGAGGCCGATAGATTTAAGATTCTCTAATATTTCCTCAATCTGTGTTTCTGGTTTTTTACACTTTCTACACATGTAACTAACAGATAGTGGTGTTTTCGAGGATTCCAGCTCTTCAAGTATTTGTGCACCTAAAAGTTCAGCTACAAAACAATTTTTTTTAAAATTAAAGTCTTAAACCTTTGAATCATGAAGTCAAAAGCACAAGTAATGAATGACTGATCACAAAGAATTAAGGAACTGAGCTTTGGTTGATAGGCCTGAACTACAGTTTCTTTTTCTAAATATTCTATATATATTTGTGTTTACTTGACACTGCAATAATTATTACACGACTTCATACCTCATGCAGATGTCAAATACGTTAAATAGTCTATTATACGTCTTTGATATCATTAATCAGGCCTACCTGTCATCAGGGACCTATATACTTAGGATATAGTTCCCTGTTGTCATAAGATAAAAATGAAAGTAGATAAGATTTGTATAAATGTTTTTCTGGTGTCAATTTATGAACTGATTTCATGAAAAATAATGTATGCCTCTCTTAAATCAAAGTATTAGTCACAATAAAAATCCATAGTTAGTGATTTAAACTGCTCTACATTGACTTTCCAGCTTTCTTCAAGAATGATATAAAATACTTCACCCATTCCTCGAGCCCGTCGGATAATGTCTTCTGCTTTTCTGATCGGGATCGGAATTCATTCGCATTGTTGACACTCGAGAACGTTGTTGGTTTGGTCTTTGGAACTGATGAGGAAGGCAAAATGAATATTCTTCATCATAAGAGGTATTGTATTGTGTTTTATTAATTTAAGGAACTCGAAGTTGCTAATTTTTATCAGAATAATTCTTTCACACTACGAACAAGGACGTATACAAGGAAGAAATTCGTCACTTAACATGCTTAAACGTTTTTTCATTAGTAATTTAACAATAACCAGGTCTGGTACAATTACTAGATTTAGCTACGTAGCTTGATTTACCTACATAGCTTTATTTACCTACCTGAGGTAGCTTTATTTAGCTACCAAATTGATCTATTTCTATTAAAAAGCATTTTTCTCAGGGTGTGCAGAAAATATCATTTTGATGCAGTGATCATTTTCAACTTTGAACTCATCTGAAAACAACTCATGAAAAAATCCCTCTTGGAAAAATGTCTTTTTCTGCGCAATTGCAATCAAAGTTCTGAAAGTTTTGGGGCTATGTATGACAGTTAGAACGGTTACTCCTTGAATGAAATGACAAAGAAGTCCAGTTCCGGTTAACACGATAATATGTCGGTAATTATTCAGCACAATGTGAAGTAATCATACTCAGTCATGCCTCACCGCACGGTCAGATAACCAAACAATGGAATTATATGTTTTGCTCTAAATTGTCCAAACGCAGAAATGTATAAACTTTCTCTGCTTTGGATTGTTTTTTAAAGTCTCCCTAGTATAAATATGAATAGTCATTTAATTGCAACTTTTTGTCTCTTTTTTATAAAAAGACAACTTTTGAAAACTTACCTTGAAATAGCTAAATAAAGCTACCTGAGGTAGGTAAGTAAAGCTATGTAGGTAATTCTACCTACGTAGCTAAATCTATTGATTGTACTGGACCTGATAACATCAAACTAATGATGTAATTAAATTGATAATATTCAACTTAATTCAATATTTTTATAAAGTTCCTTTCAGATGTTTTATCTCAATTTATTTCATGCGTGTTGAATATCAATACAATAAGCCATTTCTAGAATCTTGGATTTTCACAATAAACACTTGTGAAGTTTTGTAAAACAGGAGTAGGCCTGGGTAATTTTAACAATAAAGCAAGGTTACTGGGAGTATTGTCACTAAATCTGAAAATACTCCACAAAGGGAAGAAAACAAACTATAACTTATAGGCTTCAACTATTTAAATGATAGAAATGGTAAAAGTTTGTATCAAATTGAACATTTTAATCTTTTTTTTTTTTAAATGTCGATTTTTGCATAATTTGATGCCCATTTCTTGAGAAACAGTAAAGCAATTCATGGTTTTATATATTTTAACATAAACAAACATTTATCTACATTAAAAAGAAACTACAAGTATTTATGTACAGATAAAAATGGATCTCCATGAATCACGACAATACACCAGAAGGTGGTTTGCCGTTTAAAAGGAAGGATAAGAATACTGGAAAATAGAAATAGAAATAGAAATCTTAACATGTTCACAGAGATGATTGGACAGAAATGTTTATTTTTGATACCACTTACAAAATGTATCATTCTACAGTCAAAGCTATCTGTTGATTGATTTCACTCCAAGTACAATATTATTTTTTTATGCGTTATTCTACTTACATTAAAAAAATTCCATGCTTACAGTTGGCATGTACGCAATAAGGACAACATTGCCCGAGTCAGACGAGATGAAGAGAAAGCTGCCAACGAAGAGAAGGAGAGACAACGCAAAATAGCACTTGCTGTAAGGACCGTAGAAAAATCTAAGGAACTTTTTTAGAATGATTATTGCAATAAAAAAGTTGATATTTATGATTGTAAGATATTGATGCAAAAAGGAATATTTTTCTTAATTAAGAAAAATATATCTTTAACATCAATTTCGCTTTCTAGTGTAGTTATAATTATGTAAATGAATCTATTTCTGCAGGAACAGGAGGCTAGAACAGAGTTTCTAAGACAAAAGTCCAGAAAACACTTAGAAGGTGCTGGTAAAGGGGAACAGTTGAATGATGGGAAATCACTGGTTAGCAGTGAGGCCGCTGTTTCAACATTTGGAGCAGGTGCCCTTACTGATGACATCTACTCTGGAAGGCACATCAACTTTTTCAAAGAAACAGATGGGGTAAAGATTTGTGGAGATCAAATCATGTCATGTATTCCTTTAGAAATGCATATAAAACAGGCTTTAGAATGTTATTAAATATAGATAGGTTCGTGTTAATTCAAATTCAAATACATGTACTTTGTGATTTAATTGTTTGTGCAAGAGACAAAATATATATTTTGGAAGGAAGCCCATGTATAGTTTATGATCCCCCATACCTCTCCTCTTGAATAAAACATTGTCATCAAAAACTGTCTGGATGATGGTAGTAGAACACAGGTGCTAAAGTTTGATTAGAGAATGATGGATATCATTTTAACTCTTGCAGATGGTAGTGTCTGACAGAAAGAATGCTGAACATGAAGCGGAGAAGAAAGCGGAGCAAGAGGAGTGGGAGAAGAAAGTGGGCATTCTCACGTACCTAGGTCAAAGCTCTAATGAAACTTCAGGTATCTGTTACTATTGTGATGTATTGTATAAGTGGGCATCCTCACGTATCTAGGTCAAAGCTCTAATGAAACCTCGGGTATCTGTTACTATTGTGATCTGTTGTAAAGACAGTCACACACATCTTATTTGTGAATTCTGAGGCTGGCACTTTAAGGAATCCTATAACTTAAGAAGTAAGAGTTGTTCCCCATCAATACTTTCCTCTGATTTTGTATTTTGTGAGTTTATGGAAAGTCCCACCACTTCAGACTCAGAAATTTTAATTCAGATTTTTTAATCAATAAACATTTAAGCTCTATTCAGTTTTTGACTGACCACTACTTAGCATACTTTTCTTCAATATTTATAAAACATAATTATATTTATGCCCTCTATATGACCATGGTATATGGGTATGTCATTTTTTCATATTTGGTTACAAAGCACTCTGAAAATGCAGATTAAATATTTCATAAAATTGTTATACAATTACATGTACCGGTAGTTGTATTTTTATATTGAGACCACATTCATGTCTCTTCAAAATAGAAAATAATAAATTTTATCCTGCAACTACCCCTTGCATTGACCTTATAAAGGTAACCTAATAAACCAAAGCTTTATCCGGTCACTGCCCTAATAAAGCATCGTGCATGTATTCCGACGTTCTAAAAGCATTGTGACGTCATGTATACTGCATTGTTTACGCCATGGCGTCTTGGTTTCCACTGTAGAGACGTGTCTAAATCTGTCGAAAATAGCTAGTTTTGGACGTTCAAATGTAAGAAATAAGTTGCAGGATAAACAAAATACATGATAACTGTCTTGAAATATAAACAATATTTGGGCTCGGGTCGAAAACGTAAGAGGGTTCGGCAGGCCTCGCCCTCTATCACGTTTTCTTGCCCTCGCCCAAATATCGCTTATATTTCAAGACAGTAACCATGTATTTTATATTAATACAATTTAACAAATTCACAATATTTTGATCTGTAAATAGCTATGGATTGTAGTTGGGACATAAAAGGTTGTTCGAAAACAGAGCCTTGGAATGCCTCTACCTGTCACCTGAATATTCAGATTTCATGATTTGATCAATACAAACATAGTCTTGGTGGGACATAAATATAAATTTGACTGATAACTGTTTGATTGTAAAATTTCAAGCACTGATTTAACTTAAAGATTTGTTTTCATTCAGCTTCTTGGTATAATCAAAGAAAGAGAAAACATGAAGAGGAGGAAGAGGATAATGATTATGAGAAACAGAAAAGGTCAAACATTTTGTCTGAAGTATTTTTTTTTTTGTTCATATAAAATGATAACCTTTTTTCATTAGTAAACAAATCAGATCAAATGTGAAATTATGTTGACATACATGGAATAATTAAAATGAAAAGTAATCAAATACATGTAATATAAAAAAGTTTGCTATTATCAAAGCGAAAACAAATTAAGCTAGGATGTTTAAATGTGAAAGTGAAAGTAGTTTGTTGTGTGGTTTCAGGAGAGAGAAGAACAGGAAGCTACAGGATCACCTGGATCCTATCCACCAGATGAACAGCTTCCTCCATAAGAAGAAAGGCAAGGACGGCAAGGATAAGGTTAATATAGCCATTTATTTTGCTAAATTATATCACAGTGTTAATTCTAATACATGTATGTCTTTTAATTAAGAAATATCAACTGTTCTATGTGGGGAATATATGTACATATGGTGAGATTAATTGATTGGAGTAAATGGTAATGGTCCTATAAATGCTCTAGGTGTCTGTTTTACTTAGAAACCATTCAGAATAAACTCAGATTTAAACATGTGGGATGTGGCCACAAAAAGAGCTGAAGTATTCTTTAAGTAGGACACATTCTTACTTGTAGGATTATTCTTCAATTCACTATTAGCAAGTTTGCTATAACTTTATTAATGTCGGATACCTGCAGGTGATCTTGTCTCTTACTCATCACAAGATGAGATCACTCATGGGTACCCAACCATGTAACTGTATTTTACTGTATTTATTCTGCAGCATAAAAAACACAAGAAGAAAAAACACAAACATGACAAGGAAAGATCAGAGAGTAAACATAAATCTGGCACATTTTTCATAAAAAAGAAATCCTCAGTATCCATGGAGCAGCTGAGGGCAGAAAGGTTAAAGAGGGAGATGGAAGAGAGACAGAGAACCGCTCAGTTACTGGCGAAACACCGCGGGGAGAAAGTGGAGACGGAACCACAGGAGGTACCAGAGAGACAGCAAAAATATAACTCACAGTATAACCCGAGAGACAGCAAAAATACAACTCACAGTATAATCCAGACTTTGTACGCCAGCCGAGGAAAAAACATAGAGACTGAAATATAACTCACAGTATAACCCAGACTTTGTACGACAGCCAAGGAGAAAACACAGAGACTGAAATATAACTCACAGTATAACCCCGACTTTGATGACAGCTGAGAAAAAACACAGGGACTGAATTTACTAAATCTTACTTTGATTATGAATTTTGTACAAAAATCTTGAAGAAAATATTAAAGGGAATTGTCTAGGTGTTAAAAGACTGTTAAGTAGAATACAGTTTTAAAAAGATGCTAAAAAAGGGTGGTTTCTAAAAAGGGGTGGTTCCTTACTTTAATCCTTCATTGAGTTTATCAATCAACACACACTTATTTTTCTTTTGGAGAGGTTACCTATTTATTTGTTTTTATTGCAAGTTATATTGTGTGAACATCTATAAGGAACTTATATTTATGTGATTTACATCTGTTTTAGGGTCTTGTATTTATTAAATGATGATATTGCTCGTTTTATTTTTGTTGACTTTGAAATTATTTGTTGTTTAAAGCAAAGTCATTCATTGCTTAGATTAAGTTACTCAAATGTTTTCATATTATGACACTGAAAAAATAAATTATCCAAGAATTAATAACTCATTAGATTTAATAAACTGTTGATACAACTGAATCCAGTGATGAAACACAAATTGTAAGTTCATTGAGGACCTTATAACAGACTCTGTTAATGTCCAGATGTACTCAAGATCAGCTGTATCTATTTCCTGTACAAGCTGATAATTTATAAACATGTATGGTTTAAATAATAGTGATTCAGATAATAAAAGACTTTAGACCCAACTTAGTTTTCTTTTAAATCACAAAATACTGTAGTGAGGTTCAAAGTCAATGTGAAAAAAACCTGGTTTATTGTTCTCTGACAGTGAAATGCCAGATTAATTTTTATGTTACGGAAATAATAATAAGGGGACAATTAAAGATGATAACAGAAAAGAAATCGCACACTTCAAAACTATTTGTTGGAAAGGGAGGGGGTAGTAGCAATAGCGGAGGACAGATTATTTATTTCCTTGCCAGTGGAGGACAGATTCTTTTTTCAATGACCCATTGTTTTGTACCACAAAAACATGGAGTGATTGGCTAGAGTTCAAGTAAACACTGGTTCATTGAATTCTATAGAGATACAAAAGCATTATTCTGTCACATAATATATATTTTTTAAGTTTGTTTCAACGTCTTTAAGGTAACTTCACTTTGTAATTTGATTCAACTTTAATCTTGATTTCCAACTTAAAAAGTTGGCATTTTCAGCTTAATTTAAAGTAATTAAGATTTTCCAACTTTAATCCGGGCATTTTTTAATATTTTTAATATACTTTATAGTTTGTAATAATTGGCTTTTCCAACTACACGAACATGAAAGTTAATTGATATCTATAGCTGATTTTTCCACTCCAAAGTTGTTAATTTCAACTTTTGCTGTGTAGTTTAAAGTTGATATTTACAACTTAAAAGTTGGTAATTTACAACTTTAAAATTGATAATTTACACCTTTAAAGTTGGTAATTTACAACTTTAAAATTGCTAATTCACACCTTTAAAGTTACTAATTTCAACTTAAATCTTGGTTTTAATGATACAGGTGTTATATATCGAATCAAAGATGAACGCATTACTAAATTAAACTGGTTCTTGACGTTGACGCAGAGGAGCGAAAACTAGTTTACTACACTGGATATCGATCTCGCGATGACAATTTGTCAAATTAGATGAAATGAATGCACGGAACAAGAAGAACAGGCATTGATTATTAAATTAGATTTTTGAGGCATGGTATCTGATGGAAGCTGAGACAATCATTCACCGTCGTCCAGTTTAAAATTGAAGTGGAGTTGACTGCTGCAGCAGAAAACAAGTAAACTGGTATAAGTCCTTGGAGTTTTACTTTACCTCACTTTTTCTAGTGGACCTAAATATTGATGAAATGAAGTACTGGGCTATATAATGCCTACGAGAGAACGTGATTTTGAGAATTTATTTTACCCAGGAAAGGACTTCGATATGTATTTATCATTTTGTGTGTAAACCTTGTAATGAATTAGGGGCCTATAAGGAATCATTCATTAGAAAAGATGGTTTTTATTGCCTGCCAGCATTTTCTAGTTGTTGTAAAATTAGACATTCAAAATGTCGTTTTAAGGATGTCCCTATTTACACTTGATTAATTCAATTACTTTTTACAGTTAAATATACTGGTTGGAGCTGCAGCCTGCATTAGCACTTTCTCGAGATGTTTAACCGCTTGGCAAAGTTCAGAAGAGGCGGGGATAACTATGAGGACTTGGATGAGTCTAATGTTGACCTAGATTTTACAGATCCTGCAATGAAGAACATTGTAAACTCTGAAAATGCGGATTCAATGGAGATGAGTGAAAATCCTGAGGAGACAAGTCCAAAACAATCCACAGGCGCCGTGGGGACTGAAGGTAAGTGTGCAGATGGGTCCCAGTTACCTGTTAAATAGAAACATTTGACAGATCATTTCAAGGAACAGTCAACTGTTTATTCTGCATTTTGCTTCTATAATTGTGTTGTATATAAATACATGGAATACTTTTATTCTTCTTGAATATGCATCATTTTTAGCTCACCTCGACAAGATCGAGATGAACTTCTGCTAATTGTGGATTTAGTGTCTGTATGAGTGTGGGCATCCTGGTTAAAGTTATAGGAGCAAGTCCAGTCCAAAGAAAATATAAGATTGACCAGTTTTTTATTTTTCAATTTTTTGGAAAAGGTTACTACACTTGCTTTAGATGCCTGAACTGACTTATATTTTTACAGATGTAAAAATTTTTGCCAGGCTATATACCTGGACCAAACTTGCATTGATGATGCTATTTAGTGCTGTCTATTAGGTTAACCGGTGGACCTTCACAATACGTACACTTGCTTTTGTTATAAAAAGAGTGCCGTGAAAAATATGGCTGACTTAACATTTTTCAGATAAGTAACAGGTTAAAATTTATTACAACTTGGAGCAGGTCCACTTGCGCCGACACAACGAGACCAGGCAGTTGCAATATCAACTCGAGAATACATGTAATTTGAGTTCGTGTTTTCATTTGACATTGACAAAAAGCAAAATTTATTAAAAATTTTATATTGTGATATATTGCAATACAAAATATAATATTGCTATATTGATTTTAGCTCTATCTTGCATAAAATTTATGGATGAGTGAATTTTAGCCATACTTTAATGAAATTAGGATGGATGACATATCTAGGTGGATGCTGAATTTGACTTATATTTTCCATATGAATGAACAGGGTAATGTTTTTGGAGTAGCTCTGTTATTATATGACCTGTTATGATTAAACTTGCCTGGATGATGCATCTAGGGATGGACACTTCCAGTTTTGCTTCGGATGCTGGAGTTAAGATACGTACATTATCTTGATAGAACAATTGTGATGTAAGATTTGCCTTATAGGCAACATTCATCAAGACGAGCTTTCTAATCTTTGAATTTTTATCAAATACACATTCTGTATCTCTTTATTATATATTTTTATCAGAAACCTACAACATTTTGACTTAGATGAAGATAAAACAAGCTATAAAATTAATTTAACAATTATCAGGTACATTGTGTGTTTGGGAAATTTCAAGTAAAGTGTCTATCCTCACAGGATTTGCCTCCACACAAAGATAAGTCAAACTTGACCCAAGTAAATTAAAGCTTTCCTGTCCGCATATATCTTTCTTAGCTTATTATTTCACACAAGATATTAAGTGTGTTCATATATTGACAATTGTAATAAAAAAGTTGTCAACAAAAAAATAAACATCTTTCAGCAGCATTTATAAAGACACAAACATGAAAAATACTGTTTATAGATAGCTGTATATGACAGATTTCTTTTGTTTTTAATTTAGTCTTTTTTTTTATTAGATTCGGCAGTTACATTTGCACTGTTATAGCATTTCTCTCTTCTCTTAGGATTTAGCACTTCTGAGATGATCTTGGCTTCTATTATTTTTGTTGCTCTGAGTAAGCGTTTGTTAAAAATTACTTCACTGTGAATGGCAGCGGGCTTAGTCGAGGAAAATGTGATGTAAGATTTACCTTATAGGCAACATTCATCAAGATGAGCTTTCTAATCTTTGAATTTTTATTAATTACACATTCTGTATCTCTTTATTCTATATTTTTATCAGAAACCTACAACATACAGCAAGCTATAGATGCTATAGGTTTTGGGAAATTTCAAGTAAAGCTGTCTATCCTCACAGGATTTGCCTGGGTAAGTCAAACTTTAAGTAAATACAAAAAGATAAAAATTGACAATTGTAAAAAAAATTTGTTCATGCATTTAAAAAGACACAAACATGAAAATTACTGTTTTATCGCTAGATCTGTATGAAAGATTTCCTTGTTTTTTAACTTTAGATGGCTGATGCCATGGAGATGATGATCTTGGCTATTTTGTCATGTGAATGGCAATTAGAAAGATTACCACTGTGCCTAACAAAATACTGTAAATGTGGAAATTTATGCAAGAAGTAAATTGGGCTATATAGAATTACATGTACATGATAAGAAAGATTTTGCCTATAAAATCTCCAAGGTTTCAATGCCTTTATCATAACTTTTGTTACTTTATTTAGTCTCCTCTCCAAAAAAAATTCTACTATGGGTATATGGGCCAGATATTATCACTTTAGAAGGTCAATTTTGAACTGCCAGCTAGAATAAAAAATTAATTGCATTTAAATTGCTGTGATCCAACATCAAGTCTTGCTCATTAGTTTAACTCTAGCATTGATTCCACTGAACATGATAATAAAGAATAATGCATGAAATAAAGAATAAATACATGATATTCCTATTTTACATGTAATACATGTGCTGTTGTAGGTTGTATTTGCTGGTATGATGTGCAGCTCTAGCTTATGGGGCAGTATGAGTGATAAATATGGACGGAAAACAGTAAGTCAAACTTAAATAGGTGTTTTTTTTATAGTTGAATAATCTGTTTAGATTTATTTAATACAAAGTTAATGGTAGTTGTATACATGCACTAGAATCCATCATCTGTGTGTACATCTGTAGAGGAATGGTTAAATCCAGACTTAGATCTATTTCAAGGTAACCATTAGTGGAGTTTTATCCTTTCCAGGCCATGGAGCTTATAAGGCTGGCACTCAAACTCAGTTTTTTGTGTCGCAAAGCTGAGGAGAGTCATCTCCTAAATGGGACATCAGTCCATCATATTACTTCACTGAATAAAGAAAAAAAAACCTTGATTGAATTTAAACAATATTTTATTATGTATAAACATTGCAGGATTGGACAGCAGGCACTGCCTTTATAAGTCCTCTCCACATAAAAAACATAACAAAAACATTTTGATTTAATTGAGTCATTTCTAAAATTGATATTTATTATTTTTAATCGATTTAATCTAATCGGTCAATCGGTTCTAAAATTTATGTAAATTTGAGCGCAGTTTCCTTAAAATCCCCTACTTTTTTTTTTTTTTAGAAAGGAAAGCGCTGCATGCATATTTTTTGGTGTTTTTACACATCTTATAATTAAGAATATTTGGAGGAAATTATAGCTCTCCTGATTGAGATGACAGGATAATTGGTCAATTGGTAAAGAGTTAATTACTGTTTTTATAACTTCATGCCATTACTCAGATCGTCAAGTTGTTTTTTTAATGATATTAAAAACATCACCGTTAAGCATTTTAATTATAGTTATATATTTTGCATCTATTAAATTATATTAACGTTGTAAATTGTAAATTAAAAGAATTCAGTTGACTACATGTAATATTATCATTTATTCTTTAACATCTGTAAAAATGATTTCTCAAAGCAAGATTCATGGTTAACTTAATTTTTTCTTGTCTATTGAAATTGAAATAAAATATTCTCTTATGTACATAAAATTTCCCGATCAAAATAATAAACAGAATGTAACTTCTTACATCTTTTTAGCCTTTTTGTGTATATGAAAAGAAAAGTCAAAATGTATTTATCTTGATACGACTAACCGGTTAATCTTTTTAACCGATTAGCAATTCTTAATTTTCCCTATATTTATAAATCCAAGCTTGCCTGTTTTGAATGAATACTTGCTTGAAATGTGCTGTGTTTTAATACTTAGAACACCCATATGTTCAAATAAAACAAAAAATTAAGAACAGTTTACATTTATAATCATTTATCAAGGTAAAAATGATGCACATTCACAAGGGTATGCCATGCTATGCATTCAGTGATAAGAATTATCTTTTATTACATTTTTACCCGTGAAATACTGTAATTTATTCATTGAATAAAAATGATATCCTGTCACACCGTGAAAGGATACAAAAATGATATCCTGTCACAGTGTGATGAATATCAGAAGTGCGGGTAAACTCTCGATTTCCCTTCCCATAACGAAGATTGCTGTAAAAAAATCTTCCTTGACCTAATATAAGATAGATGGAAATAAATGAACCATTCTGACAGCGAATAAAACTGTCAGAATTACCAAAAATATGTTGCTAAATCCATGTTTACAGTGTTTTCACCTTACTAAGCTATGACGTCTCAACCGTTCAACTATGACGTCACGAACCTATGACTGTATCACAAAATGACAGAGACAAAGGAAAAAATCAAAGAATTTTAAAAAAAAAATGTAATAAACAGAAAATTCAATGTTATAATATGTATTTCTTTTAAATTTTGTTTTTCACTTGTGCTTGTGATTGATTGACTTTTTATCAACACAACTTTTTAATTCTTATTTTATTAAATTTGTAGGAATTGATACTGTGTTCAGTGATGACATGTTACTTTGGAATCCTAAGTGCATTTGCACCTAACTTTTTGTGGATTCTCATTTTGAGGGGGCTGGTGGGATTTGGTATAGGTGGAGCACCACAATCGTGAGTGTCATCAATATATGAATTAGAGTTTTTGTGCGTTAAACAAATCAATGTTTCATTATTTATTGGTTATACAGTATACATGTACATGTATTTCTTTTAAATTTTGTTGTGCATGTAATTGATTGAAGTTTTTTCCCCCCAAATAGGGTAACATTGTATTCAGAATTCTTGCCATCAGCATCAAGAGCCACTTGTGTTGTTCTTGTTGAGGTAATGCAGCATATATTAATATGTAAATCTATAATTTCTATTAGATTATTGCAATGGTGTTAAAAAAAAGTAGAAAAAAAGATATTCATGTATACAACGATGAATACATGCTTCTATGGTTGTGTATATGAACACAATTTTTATAAATAACAAACATTAAAAGGTTTTCTTTTTTTGCAGATCTTTTGGGCTATTGGAGCTTGTTTTGAAGTTTTGTTGGCCCTTGTTGTCATGCCAACACTGGGTTGGCAATGGCTGCTGGCTCTGTCAGCACTTCCACTTCTCCTGTTCTCCATCTGCTGTTATGTACGTGAGATCCAGATTGAAGGTCAATCTGAAAGAGATACATGCTGACATACAACGTGCCATCACTTACTTTACTAACCTTATTGTTTATTTTCTAGTGGTTGCCAGAAAGTGCCAGGTATGACATGACAAGGGGACACACAGAGAAAGCTATAGCTACACTCAAAAGAATTGCTCAAGAGAATGGCAAACCAATGCCCCCAGGAAGACTAGTGGAACCCTCTAGCAAGGTCAGATTGACGGGTTATGAAGGGAGAAAATACATGTATTTCTGTTTGGTTATTTAAATGTGCATGAATTTTATTTGCAATCTTTTATTCATGTGTTCCATTTAGTTATGCCCAGTACTGTAAATCAATAATTATAATTTCTACAGTATGCTACAATTTTATTTGCCAATTGCCAATGGAAAACTGGTCCAAGATTAATTTTAAATAATGAAGTGATGTTTACAACATCATACACATGTACATTTGTTGTGTTTTAGTATAAGATTATGTCGTATAATATATTGAATTTGTCATTTTGCAGTGTATATGGAAAGAAATTTTTTCAAAAAAATGTTTTTCTTTTACAGGCATCAAATAGGGGAAGCATGAAGGATCTTTTTATGCCAGAATTTAGGAAGACAACATGTTTCCTATGGGTTATATGGTAGGAAAAGCATTTAATATTGAAGATTAAAATGAAGATATGAGTCTTAATATGTAATTAAGCTCAGTAAAAGTGATTGAAAAAATATCTTGTAAATGTCTTTCAGGCTGGTGTCAGCATTTTCATACTATGGAATAGTTTTAATGACCACAGAATTGTTTGAAATATCTGATGGATGTCATGGTAATTTCCCATTTATTCTCTAATTCAAAGAAAAATATACAAAAATTACCAACCATATATTCTAGATGTTTTATTTATCCAAACAGTGAAACTTGTTAAAGAAGAAGTGTACAACAACATCAAAAGTTCCTTTTAGTATTGGAACTCTTCAACTCCAGGGGAAAAAAGCGATAACATTCTAACTATGTTGCACATGTCCTTAAAAAATCAAATAGAAATATATATATATATAAAATTATCCTTGGTATATTTCACACAACCATCCCAAAGATATTTTATGCTGACATTTAAGACAAATTGTTTAAGGTAATCACTTTACCTGATGCTCTTTTCTTAGGTTCCTCTGAGAAGATAGAGCAGCCTTGCTTTGTTCAGTGTAAAGGTCTGAAAACAGCTGATTATGTCGATCTTACCTGGACAACTTTTGCAGAATTCCCAGGTATGAACTGAGCAAAATTTTAGAATTAATTAAATATACTTGATGTTGATGATGAACTAGAAAGTATATGTTAGATGCAAGATAGGAATTATGTTGAATCCTTGACAGAACATTTCTGTATTATTACTAATTTGTCTCTATAAAGCAATTCAGTACATGTAGTACATTTAGTTTATATATTTTATGCCAAGGAAATGTCTCAAGTTACTCGTCTCTTTGTTGATTAGGACTGTTTGTGACTGTTTTCATCATAGAGAGGATAGGGAGGAAATTCACCATGGGATTTGAGTTCTTTGTCTTCAGTGTATTTGTCTTATTAGCAAACATCTGCACTTCAAGGTAAAGACTTTAAAATTGCAGAAAGTTGCATTAAAAAAAAAATTATGACTTTCAGCTTTACTATTTTCAAAATTGTAAGGGTTAATCTCATGTTTATTTTCTTTATGATAAACTTGCAAAGATGAATTAACTTACTGTAGTTTTTTTTTCTGTGTGTGTGTGTAATTGGCTAACAGATTTTTATAGATAAAAACTGAATATTTTTTCTTTTGATTTTCAGACCTGTATTGACATTTTTCCTCTTTGTTGCTCGAGCTTTCATATCTGGAGCTTTCCAGGCAGCTTATGTTTACACACCAGAGGTATAAAGTCCCTGGACAATCATTTTAATAAGAACAGAACTGGTTTGAATTTGTGAATTTGTGAATGACATATTCCAAAAAATAACAAAAAAACAGAGAAATTGATTAGTATGCCAAACTATTCTCTGTCATTTAAATGAATTATTGATTTTGTTCCTTTGGTAGGTGTATCCAACTTCTATGAGAGCCATAGGGTTGGGATCCTGTAGTATGATGGCAAGGATAGGTGCTATCATAACCCCATTTGTGGCCCAGGTATGAACATTGCTTTTTACAGGTATTTTAAAACATTTAATCACAAGGGGGATGTTTTTTTTTCTAGAAATTGGGAGAGGTATCAGATTTCAAATGAAAAAAAAAATAGTGAAAATTTGATTGTATTTTTGTGATCATAGATATTTTTAGCTCACCTGAGCGGAAGGCTCAAATGAGCTTTTCTGATCACATTTTTCTCCGTCTGTCTGTCTGCTGTCCGTCTGTATTTTCACATTTTCGACTTCTTCTCAAGAACCACTGGGCCAATTTTGACCAAACTTGGTACAAAGCATTCTTGGGTAAAGGGGAATTTAAATTGTTAAAATGAAGGGACATATCCCCTCGCAAGGGGAGATAATGAAGAAAAGACAAAAATAGGGTGGGGTCATTAAAAAATCTTCTCAAGAACCACTGGGCCAGAAAAGCTGAAACTTATGTGAAAGCATCCTAGGGTAGGGTAGATATTAAATTGTTCAAATCATGACCCCCGGGGGAAGGGCGGGGCCACAATGGGGAATCAAAGTTTTACATAGAAAATATATAGGAAAAATCTTTGAAAATCTTCTTCTCAAGAACTACTGGGCCAGAAAAGCTGATTGTGGAAGCATCCTGGTATAGTGTAGATTCTAAATTAAATCATGACCCCCGGGGGAAGGGTGGGGCCACAATTGGTAATCAAAGTTTTACATAGAAATATATTGTAAAAATCTTTGAAAATCTTCTTCTCAAGAACCACCGGGCCATTATGTGGAAGCATTCTTGGGTAATGTAGATTGTAAATTGTTCAAATCATGACCCCCAGATTGGAGCCACAATGGGGGGATCTTCATAAAAATATATAGGAAAAATCTTTGAAAATCTTCTTCTCAAAACCACTGGGCCAGAAAAGCTGAAAAGACATGGAAGTCCTGGGGTAATTTCAATGTCTTAATTATGATCAGTGGGGTAGGGTGGGGATACATAATGTATTACATGGGGGAAATCTGGTAAAGAACAGAATGGTCAAAGCTTCTCAGGTGAGCGATGTGGCCCATGGGCCTCTTGTTTTCTCCTGTGTCAGGTTTTATTAAAAGAATCTTCCTACCTTGCAATATCAACATATGGAGTTATCTCCCTTATTGCTACTGGCGCAGCCATTTTACTTCCCATTGAAACCAAAGGAAAAGAAATGAAAGTAAGATTCAGTATTCATTAAAACATCTAACAACCAGTTACTAACTTGTACCTTATGGTACACATGTGCAGTACAAAGGACAAGATATTTTTGTCCCTTATGTCATTGAAAATTCAAAACTGGGTTAAAATTGCTCATTTTAAAGTTTTTGATTCAAAACTTACAGGAAGGTCACAAGAAGGTGCCAAAACAGGACATTTTACCATATTTCCTCAATTCTAATTTAATTTTTAAATTTGTAAGATTGAAGGTAATGTTCACTTTGGGAAAATTAAGAGCACAATTTTGCCTTTCTGAGATATTTATACACAAGATGGCCCTGATACTAATGCATGAAATGCAACAATTCTTTGACTTATAAATTAGAATCAATACTCTCTGTGTAAGAAGGATGACAACAGAATTTTGGATTGTTCTTGGAGACACCCTATACCAGGGGAGTCACCCATATGGCGCCGTGGTTAGAGCATATGCTTTTGTTGTGGAGCAAGGAGGTGATCCTTATGTAGCACATTCAGATCTCTCTGGGGGACTTAAACACCAGTCCTTTACATGAGACTGTATAAGCCAAGGTCCTGTGATGCAATTGGTGCTTACACGAAAAAGATCCCTCAGTGCTCAATGGCCCTGATTATAGGTCAAAATTTGCAGCCCTCCATCGGCAAGTGGTGGCATCTCTATATGAGTGAAAAATTCATGAGAGGGATGTTTTAAAAACAAACAAACAATAAATTAGGGGTCAGAAAGATGTCTCAGCCTTTATTCATTGTTGTGACATGTTGGCCACGTAGTCAAATTTTATGCATTTATTTGAAAATTTAAGAATGATTGCATGTCTAAATTTAAAGCGTACTGGTAATTTACTTAATGTACAGGTAAATGCTAAATATATATATTGTGTTTTATACTTTAATAGGATACCAGTTCAGAAATAACAGTTCAACACTAGGGGTGTGGTGTACGTAAGGTGTTCAGCATATTAACCATTATGTCATTGTATGTGTATGTAACAAGTGTATAATGAGGCGGTCAATCTGTGATAGTGTAGTGATAGATCCCTGTATGTTTAATTGTTATTGCTTATGTATTGAGGTCCCATTATTCAAGTGCATCATAGGATTCTGTCTATACAACTTTGTCTTTATGTCCCAAAGTTTTGTCCCACTGCCTGGAAGTTAAAATCTTTGTTTGTTATGGCCAGCTTTATAAATTCTATTGTCGTTACATGTTATCTATGCTTTCATAAGCAATTATCAACATGTTAAAAAATTTTTTTTAATAAAATTGTAAACAGAAATGGTAATACAACTGTGCCCAGGCCCCTTAAATGTAATACCATCTTAAGTTTTAGGCTCTCTCTTTCTATATATTATGCATGATCGTCAAAGCCATGTAGTAAATTTTTCAAGGGGTACTACTTGAAGTATTAGTTTTACGTCTGTTTGCATATACAATGTACTATGTTTTTGTTTAGATTATTTACGTTTCACTGTGATAGATTAATAAAGCATACATTTTCTACTTATCACCTAATCATTTATATTCACCAGGGTATCATGAGAGTTTTTTTTCTCTAATTTGTTACTGATGGAACTAGAAAAAAATCGTTCATTGTCAATACTTTCCTCATTCCAAATGTATCTCTGTTTAAAACATTTCAAATGTATTTCAGTTAAATTTATTTGAAACATTCCAGAGAATAAACTACTTAAGGTTGAAAAGCATTCCAATCGTAATGGAAAATTTTCCTGGCCTTTTAAGTTATTTTGATTTTGTTATGATAATTTTTAGAAAATCTACATGTAAATATATTGTATATACATGTACATATTGTTCAGTTTCTGAATGCTGTACACAGACTTGATCTTGCCCCATATTTATTTTGTCCTGCCCCATATTAATTTTGTCCAAACCCACTTGCAAACAGCTTGGATTCATTTTTAATTTGCCCAGACAAGTTCTGAAAATATGTTCATCTTTGATTTGCCCAATGGTAATGAGAGCAAAAGGGAAAATTAGATTGAGAAAAAATATTGCTGTTTTTACAGTATATACTGCCTAAGCAGAACAGATACTGATATTCACAGAGGTTATTGAATATATACATGTATGATTAAATCTTAATGGTAACCAAGTAAAGAATGATTGAACAAAAATTGGATTGCTTGAATTTTGATTTAGGTATTATTTATTTACCATTGCTCAAATTTTCACAAATTAAGGACAGGTGATGCAAAAAATAAACAACAACAACAAAAAACCAAAAACAAAGGACTTAATTAAACACTTTTGAATATGTTTTAGTTGTCAATGATGGAAATAATAAATTTCTATAAAGAAATTTCTTTCAAGAATTTTTTTTTGTTCAAAAAAACCTTTTTGTAACCATCCATATGTAATGAAAAATGTGTTATTAAACTTATTCATTTTACTTATATAACATGAGTTAGGTTGCTTTCTTCATGATTTTTGTTTATTTATTTTATTTTAATTTTTTAGATTATCTGTATCATCTGTCCTTAACAGTATATTAAGTGTAATTTTTACTCGAACTTGTCAGAATTCAGTACCAATGTACAGTTATTAATTTTGCAGTGGAAGCTAGGACATTATTTATTTGTTACACAAATAAAACATAATTTTTATTAGTTTTTGCCTGTTAATAAAGCCCATGATGCATATGCCAAAATCAAGTTGTGTTTAAACAATATCTTGACAATTCTTTTCATATTCATGATTTATTTCTTGAAATTTAACTCAAGTTATAGTTAAACTCAATTGAATCTCACAATATTTTAATACGGGGTATTATTGTACAAGTAAATGTATATATAAACTTACTATTTATTGTATTGATGATTTAAATGTGAATATCATGCATTATTTTATATTATTATTTTCTTTTTTTTAACATTTTCTTTTTTATTTGAAAGAGTACTGGGTACATTATTCTTTACAGTATGTTAAGAAATAAATATTGATACATATCTAAGACTGATACAATGTACATGTACCATACAAGGCAATGCTAAGGTTTAGCAATATTGATATCTGCATTTACTGTATATCAACCTGAGTACAATATACAACCTACAATCCACATAATGTATAAAGTACAGAAAAAATTTGTAAAAATAAATTTTCTTTGGCATGCTCCTAAAACCAACATAACAATGAGCACTGTTCTTATTTTTATCTGATAGCTGTAACTGTGTTCTATATCATTTAACACTTGATTAAACCTGCTTGATATTATGCCATAATTGTCAAAAGTGCAATATCAATAATATAGTTCAGTAAATAAATATCATTTAATGTTGTAATAAATTGAATTGTTACTTACAGAGTAAAACATGAACATATATTTTAATGTTGTTCTGTTTATTTCAAAAGACAAAGATTAAGTTAAAGACAGGTATGCACTGAACAAAACGCTTCAAAAATACTCAGTAACATTTGTAAAATTCAGGGTTTTATCGGAGTGTGAAAAAACCTACACCTCTGTTTTCACTGTTCTCCTCATAATTTTTTTTCAAAAAAATGATTGAGTATCTGATTGACACTATCTATGTAGTTTTTAGAGATTAGGTCTTCCAAAATTTGTCGGAATTCCCATGGGTACCAATCACGCTAGATCATTAACAGACATATTTTTGTATTCATATGAATGAAATGTATAAAGATATCCAGCAGCATTGAAGCTCAAAAGCCTATTCAGAGAATACAAATCAGGAGCAGAGCAACACGGTATTCTTAAACATCAGAGGTGGGATCAGGTCACATTCCTGTGCAGTGGGGGGCTGAGCATCCCCTGCTGACCGGTCACATCTACCGCGTTCTTCTTGACATGATGGGGATATAATGGAAAATCCTCAAATGATTTTTATTAAAAAGAATCAGTATGAGTAGAAGAAACCACGTGATGTGGCCTTCAACTCGATACATAAATATATCGACGACATTTTTTCAATTAACAATAGTTTCTTCCATTCTTATGTGCCGTTACGGTAGTTCAGTCGGTAGAGCGCTCGCTTCGTGATCGGATGATGATAAAAATAGGTAACAACTCTTCCTTCGCACATGCAAACACACTTTGAAGTGAAGTTGCGGGTCTTTTGGATGAGGCCTTTAAATCCGAGGCCCAGCGGCTGGGGTTGGCACGATAAAGGACCCTCACTAATTAGTGACGTCTCTGTTCGAGTGAAACATTCTCGAATGGGACATAAAACATCAATCATTCAGATATTGATTCGATATATCCTACTAAACTTGATACATAAGATCAACAAAGTCGAACACATCTGTTTCATATTTGAATATCGTTTTACTAGAAAAGGACGGTAAAATAGCAACGAAACTTTGTGATAAACGTGACTTTTTTTTTATCGCCAACTCCATTCACTAATGCAATACATGTATGCGGTTTTGGGGGCTAATGTCTCTCAGTTGATTTAATAAACAAAAGCATGATATAAGTACAATCATTCTTTTTTTACTATGGGACAAGCTAATGATAAAGAAGTTAATGAATCAGGGATATCAACAGTCTCGTTTAAAGTCAATGGTTCGCAAATTCTATGATCGATACAATCACCTTGTCAGCAACTATATATGGCATGCCAAATTCACAAAAATGAGCTAAACATAGTTTCACAGTCGATAAACTGGGTTTATTTTTGTTGTGAATCCCAATGAACACGTAAAGAAATTTGTTTCAGCAGAAACTGGGTTTAGATTATAATGAACCAGTTTTGTAAACTGTTATTTGTTCCAAAAATAAAATGGTTTTAAAGTAGTTTAAACCCAGAACCGGTTTTCCATTTGTTTTGGCTGTAACTGAAACTAGTTTGTTACACCAACCAAACCATATACCGATGGTGGTTTACTCGGTTTAAGTCACGAAAAAGCGGGAAATATTCCAGTATGGCGGTGATGAAAGATGGTGATTATTCTAATAAAGATAAAAATTTATAAATAATTGTTCTTTCGAGGACAAACAACTCTTTTGACTAAAATGTGACATTCTGCTATTTGATGTTTTATATATAAGGCTTCAGAGAATAGATAAATGCTGCATATTGTAAATAATGGTGTTTGTTCAATAATAATGAACAGAATGTTAAATTTTCCTTTTCAAAAATAAGTTTTGAATCATTTGAACAAACTTCAACATGTATGGTAAATTGTAGAACATACTGTAAAGACAGCTTAAATATTGGAAACCTAAGAGTAATAATAAATACCTGAGTGTTTATCTTTCCACGTGTTAAATGTGGAAATTGTTCAATGCATTTGATTATTAATCTTCAGCTGCACTTTAATTATAAGTAAGATAATCAAAGAGTATAAATACGCTATAATTTTTTGGATTCTTTTATTAAGAAAAATTTTTTAACAAATTTATTTGCATGTGTAATTTGGATATGTTGTTCTTCATCTTTTTGACGCCATCTTGTATAAACTGTTCATTTGTTTTACCGAAGTAAACCGGATTGAAATTTAAACCAGTTTGAAAATACTTGTTTTAAACCTTAAACCAAAAACCTGAAACAGTGTGTATGTGCAACAAATTCTCCAGGATAGTTTCACGATTTGTGAAATTATGTTAACTGACAACTCTTATATATCTATAGTTCACGATTGTAAATTATAGTTTACAAAGATTTTGCAATAATTCTGCTTCATATCAACAAAATTTTTTGCGGAGCGCATTGGTACATGATTCCAGATTGTTGGAAGACCTATTCTCCAAAAACCAAATAGATATTGTCAATTAACATCTTTTTGGTGTCAAACTATATTGTGTGTGCAATCAGAGTGTGTTTTAGCAATAATATTTTTGCAAATGACCAATTACCAGGTAAGTAATTAACAAGATCCATTTTTATTGAAAAAGCAGCTGTCAATGAAATCAAAAAGCCTGGACTTTAAACTAATGGTTTGTATAAAGTTGAAAAATCTAAGTTTTTAAGCTGTTGATTTTGGTAAAATCTTGTGATTTCAAATTGTCCAAGAGTTCTTAAAGTAACTTGGTTTAACATTTTGGAACCAATGAATTTTTGTATAGATTCTGATGAAGTTTGCTCCAATATATAGGTTTTAATTTCATTTTGGCTAGTTTAAAAATATTCAAAACCATATGATTTTTCCAGAATTTGTTTTGGAAGGGAAGTAAAGTACCAGTTCGATTGCCACTTGTAGAATTAAATCCAAGTTCTTGTAAAATACAATTTATATAATGAGCCTTACAAACGAAGACAATGTTGTTACCTGCTTTGTCGGCAGGGATCAGTACGTACTGATCATGTATTCTATCTAATTCATTTTTCACTTCTGGAATTGAAAAAAGGCTTATAAATAATTGTTTTTTCGCAATGCATTACCTGAACAAAGTAATGCTCTAATGTGTAATGCCCAAAAATTCCACATTACATGTAATAGTAATGTAATGCATTATATATATAATGCTGGCATTACATAGAATAACACAGCATTATTTTGTGAATACCTATTTCAAGAAATTTAAATGGACATGGATGATGGAAATTGTTGTTCAGGTAATTTATTTTATTTATTTATTTCTATTTTTTTTTTTTTAGCAAATGATACTTTTGAGTAAAAATGTTAACCTATTTAGATAACATTCAAAATCTATTTTTAAAAAGGAAAATTTACATTTAATTAAATTATTCAGATATAATTGTTTCAAATTTATGTAAAATAGTTTTAAAAGATTTTTTTTTTTATCGCATATGAGATACACTAATAACATGTATATGATAATTGCTACCTTTTGAACATACTGTAAAAAACACACTAGGCCTCTGGGTTATGTAACAATTAAACCAATGTAATGTTTAAATACTCCAAATGTTTATTTTTCCACTGTGTTTATAAAAATGTGGAAATTGTTCATTTGATTAATTTTGAGGCATTAAAAATATAAGCCATGCAGGCATTCTGCTTTACTTGCTTACTAAAATGTAAGATAATTTTCAAAAATATAAATACGTTATATTTTCTACGATACTTTTATCAAAAAAAGATTTTTTTTTATATATTTTAAGTTATTTGCATGTGTTAAATTTGGTTAATAGTACATAAAAAGTACATTGTATGTTTACAAAACTTCTTCAGAACTTTTTCTTTGATTGTAAGTTAATGACATTGTAATTATACAAACTGTGTAATTTTTAATTATCATGTTTAGTTTTGAAAGGGGATTGAAATTTAAACACAGCAAAGTTTTGAAAAATTTTTTTTTTAAAACCTCCAAAAGTAATGGTAATGGTAAAACTTTACTAAAGTAATGTTAATGTAATGCATTACTTTAAGAAAATTAATGGTAATGTTTTAGCTCATTTTTGTGAATTTGGTAACTATTTCAGCAACAATCCTATCATTAGGATAGATTGTTTTCATACTGCCCCTCAATCTTTTAATTGTTTAACATGTATCTGATACATTTAATCCATTCTGACAAAGTGTCAACGCTTCTTTTTCCGATTTTCTGGCGTAATTTTCAATAGAATCCATAATATTTATGAAATTCCGCGCAGTTGAAGGATTGGGTAATGTATTCTGCTTTTAAATACATTCTTTTTGACTACCTTCTATAAAATACAATGATACACAGGAATTACCATACACATCAAGTATTTTATATGACTATATTTTAAATTTAATCCAAAACTGGCAAAAATTTACATCTTAGTGAATAATATAGCCTTCAGAAATATCAATAAATTTAAAAAAAAAAATACGTCCCTTTTGACACATCTTTTTCATACACCTGTATTTTGCTGTTAAAAGACCCCTTTCTTCTGAGATTTTATAACACTACCTTTAAATTAATGTTTATGTGATGACATTCCTTATATCAAGTCATAGCACATACCCTCCAAAAGTTAATGCCAAAGTAAAAGTGTGGAATTTAAATGTAAAAGTGTGTCCAACTCCACGCCTTTTTTCGCGACAATTTTAAAAGAAGGGATCAAAAACATTAAACTTTTGAAAATTAAAACTTTATTTTGAATTTTGCAAATTATTTATCTTGGGTAAAATCAAAGAGATTTATAATTAAATAATTATGGAATTTTTTCTTTCACCAGCTAGAAAATAACCTTTTTAAAGATTAAACTGACAACTTTGGAAACTTACTGTATAAAATGTAATAAAAGTTTCTATGAATGCGCGTATCTTTGCTCTAATAGCCTTTAGTTAGAACATTTTAATATCGTTTTCCTTTAATGGGGATAAAACAGTTTGTATAATTAATGAAAGGTATTGTATAGTCCGAAAATTCTGACGTTTTCCTGGCTTTTTTACGATTTTTATATTTTACATGCCAGGAAAACGTCAGAACCGCCTGGAAATTTCGCCAATTTCAATGGAGTCCTCGGCCACTGTGAACCGACCTAAATGCAAAGATTTATCAAAAGCACAATGCCTCTAGTACTCACCAATATCGCTGAAAGGAAAATCTCATACCACATTTCGTAACAGGACTTGCAAGAATTTAAAAAAGCACAAAATGAAGATTTGTGATAAAACCTGTTTCATATATTTCAGAAATGCCATAAAAACTATTTGGTAAGTTCTTTAAGTATTGTACTATTGATGACTTTTGACTTTGAAATTTAATTCAGTTCACAAGTATCTAAAATCAACCAGAGAATGCCGACTCCGATTGAAGGCGGCGATTTCCCAGTTTACGTAATGGCGCCGGTTCTGACATTTTCCTGGCATGTAAAATATCAAAATCGTAAAAAAGCCAGGAAAACGTCAGAATTTTCGGACTAGGTATTGTACTGCTTTGAATTCGTTATTTAAGCTTAAAAGTTTTCAGAAATAATACTTCAAAGCATAAGGCAGCTTGATATTACCCGTATACATTTGCCTAACAAGAATATTCCTACCAAAACAAATGTTTTTGCATCAAAAAATGACAAGCCTCATTAACTGTTAAATTTTAAAATACACGTTAAAACATGATGGCCGTAATTTCTACAGAAAAGGGAACGAGAATATTGACGTGTGGCCGTTAGTACACCTGGCCTTTTCCGTTACACCGGCTTATGCTTTGTAAAATTTGACAATTGTATTTTAAAGTTACGGAAAAATATAGTGTACAATGAACCGCTTTTGAAAAATGACAGGTGTTGACAAATTCCGTAAAAGTGATACAGTGAACAATTAATGAAATACTTTGATGGCATGGACATACCCTCAATTTCATCCGATAACATGCTAGGCGTTTCAACCGCAAGTCATGGTGGGATTAAAATGAACAAAAACTCTCATGCTTGCATGTTTTGATTTTTAATAAATTTTCTACCTTTGCGTTTAATCAGAGACATATACCCGTAACTCAGTAATTAAATGAACACTTAGTAATTTAACATGAGAAAGAATGGTAAAATGCAAATTTTAAAACACAATAATTTTAGAATACCAAATATCACATTAAAATAAAAATTAAATATAACATTTTAAACGCAACGGTAGAAAATTTATTTGAAGTCAAACAGTCAATTTCACACGGTGATATTTTAATACCCACCATGACTTGCGGAAAAACACGTCCTCGTGTTTTGAAAGAAAAATCACTGCAAATAAAGTTTGAAACAAGTTCTCGATTGTCCGTAGAAATGCTTTGATGGTAAAAAGTGGAAAAGTCATGGAATTCTGTCACGAAAAATCATCTGGTTTGTATTCAGGCATTATGTATGGTAAATCGAGTGCAGTTGTCCATGGCTGTTGCAGCGAAGTTGTTTTCCATCGTTGAGCATTTTTAAATTTTTATATTTGTTTTGGGGTTGATTGGTTTCTGAACATATAAATTTTTGGAACTCCTAGCTGGAGAAAAATATTTAATAAAGATTTTCCACCAAATATTTCTGCATAAATATATGCAATGGCCCCGGGCGTTGGTATACCCTTAGGATTCATCCACCATTTATGACCGCGTAGTATTAAATAAACATTAGAAGATGTGTCGTTGATCAAAGAACATAGGCATTAGAGGGAATGTTGGCAGGGGAAGTGAGTGGCGTCGTTGGCCGGAAGTAGAAGAGCCGTATTCCAAGGACTCTTCCCGTTGACACATATAAAAGTCCAAATGACGAGGAATAAGTATAGTTTCCGAATTTATTAACAATAAGTCCCAACGATGGAAATGGCTACATGATACAACAATAAACAGTAACCAGTTGGATATGGCCGTAGCCTCCAAACTGTTAAATGTTAAAATAGTTAAAACATGATGGTAGGGGAACGAGTCGGACTAATTGTTACATTTAGGCCATTATTTAAACAATGAAATGCCTACCGATTTTCCGCTTTAGTAAAATTTGACAATTGTATTTATGGGAAAATGTACAATGATAAAGTTAAAAATGACAGGTGTTGACAATGTATTTTAAAGTGATACTTTTATAGTGAACAATTAATGAAATACTTTGATGGCATGGACATATCAAATAAACTTGAAATAAAAGATACCATAATTAATTAATTACATGTATATTTTGTAAAAGTGATTAAAATGTCCTTAATGATAAGTTTATGTGATGACTAACTTTTCAATCGTCAACTTCCCTTACTTATGCAACGATATACTTCATCATATACTTCAATTAAATGATATCTCTCAGTAATTTAACATGAGAAAGAATGGTAAAATGCAAATTTTTTTGAAAACACAATAATTTTAGAATACCAAAGTATATCACATTAAAATAAAAATTAAATATAACATTTAGAGTCCAAAATGAATTTGAAGTCAAACAGTCAATTTCACACGGTGATACATATTAGGCCTCCTTAGCTCCTGACTTATCGACCTATCTAATTTACATTCCGGTAGAATTATCAAGAAATCATTTCCGCTAATTAACTTTCACAGAGTTATCACAGAGAAAAAAAATTAGAAATGGAAATATTATGCATGTGATCACATTTTAGGCTATATTAAATCAATTACATGGAATGTATGAGTATTCTGGTAAGTGAAATCTAACGTCAACACGACATGGTATGCATAGGTACAGGTACGATGAATGTATATTTTAATTAGTGTTTCATTACAACAATAATTATAATCCTTTTTTTTTGCTAAGAGGTTAATAAGGTAGAGGAAATTAAACACAATTTACCATTTTTTCCCCTTTATTTCAAACAAAAGCACATAAATCGGAAATATAAATAAAAAATTAAAACCAGTACATTTTTCAATTTATGAACATAGACATAGAGATGATGTATAACCATCTTATGATTTGAATTTTCTTTGAGCTGTCATATTGTCCAGCCCAGTGAAACCTTCATTATGAAGATGTTTTTAGGAACACTCAGATATACAATCAATACAAAGTATCATGGGAGACAGAATAACTTACATCAAAATAATTTAATAGTTATAGTACGAGGAAATTTTCTCTTTATCTCTGAAGATTTCATTTCCTGACGGAAAAAATATGGCATAAAAATATTCTGAATTGTAAACTTTGCAGAAGTTGGTGTTAGTGCTTCCCTTCCTAGACAATGTCAAATGTACTTTGCCATAACCCATCGTATCTTTGAACAAAACATTAATCTAAATATTTCTATATTACAAAAAGAGTTTCCAATATTGCACTAGTGTAAAAGTAATCAAGCAATACAAAACGTGAAAAAGTATTCTTATCTAGACTATATTTTCTTTATATAGTTCTAATAATTTTGGAATAAAGGTTTTATATTCATGAAACAGACATTTAGAAATATTTCAGAGGCATTTAGATTTTCAATATTTCCATCTCCTTTAAAAGAAGAGCTTTAATAAAGATATACAAAAATGATCAAATTTTAAAACTAAAATGTATGAATTTTTTCTTTGCTACTGTTATTGCCACTGTTTAGTATTTTTAAAAACATTAACTAAAGATTCATTTAACACAAAACAACTTCCCAATTTCTTTTCTGAAAGCTACATCAAAAACACCATAAATGAAAGGATTCGCAAAATGGTTAAACATATACATCCTTCGAAGTGTTAGACAGACATGGAATGCAGTTGTAGACAATTTTTTCCAGAAAGTAGGGTTGTTGGTTTCTATGACAATGAAACTCCAAGAAGGCAGATACGCCAGAAAGCCAACAAAGGAAATGGTCATGAACATAAAGGATACTCTAAAGGCATTGCGCTTAGCATCAGGTTTTGGCATTTTCTTTTGCTTTCTCGACTCTAACTGAGACACAGAATTCACAGTTGTTTCCAGAGCTTCGCTGCTTTCTTGGGATACAGTGCTTTTTTGAGGTTTCGACACATCAGACATTGCTGTAGCGTCAGAAGACATCCCGCTTGGTTCTGCTGGTTTGACGTGGATGTTCTTCATCTTCCTGACCTGCTTGACGATAGAGACAGTTATGATGATGTACAAGACACTGATCACCACTACGTTACTGATCGTGATGAAGAATCCGACCCCTTGGAAGATGCTAAGGCCTTTTAATTGAGCGGGAGTTCCTGGTAGTCTGTTACACTGGTATCCTGTAATGTTTCCAAGCTTTGGGTTGTGGATTTCAATGACACCATAGTAGAAAAGAACTGGGATGTACAGTAGTGCCGAGGTCAATATACAAATTCCAACAGAAAACCTTTTCCAGAATAAATCCATCTGTTTGCCAAACGGTCTGCAAATCTTTTGGAATCTCTGAACCGCTATTACATTAAGAAGAAAAGGGAACTGCAAGTACTAAAATAGCTCAAATAGAGCAACATTTTACACACACCTTGTCCTGGAAACAAAACTTGATGGGTGTTTCTAGTCAGATTGAGTGATGCAGTTATAATCAACGCTACCAGGTCTAAGTATGCCAATGGAGTTATGAAGTATCTCCCGTCACTTTCTTTGCAAAGACGAAACTGATAAACGAGAATGACGATTATATTGCCTGGGATTCCAATTAGTAGGTATACTGCCAAAACAACAGTGTTTGGGAAATAAAGGTCCTTAAATTTGTCATTCCAGAAAAGAAGAAATGCTTTATCCATAATGTTGTCTAACGGATCTGCGGAGAGTGTTGTGTTACTATCCATATTTAAAGATGCGATACCAAATCGTTGGATGCTTTTATTTGTTTGCAACAGGGAAGCTTTATTATTTTTAGGCAAAAGGCCAAAAAGAGCATGCTGACAAATAAATTACGGAAACATTCACTTTGTTCGGTGTAGTGTCTTTATAGTATACTAGTATTTGATATGATTTTTAGATTTAAAAAAACAAAACAAAACTAAAAAAGTGTATTTGTATGTTAACAACACATTGATGTATAGATTGATAAGTATTCTTTGACTGTTTTTGAATGTACATGTCTTTAATAAAAGATTATAAAAAGTGAAGAAAACATACAAATTTTGTGTTCAATTATGAGATGTTAAATTAAATTTTCCATGAAATCCTTACAAAATTTTTTTTATATTTTATTGAAAGTTCTTTTAAAAGAATTTGAACACTTACTTTGGTAAATATCAAGTAAAATCAATTTTATATATTTTTTAAGTATTCCACTTTCATCAGCTTATAGCATGTAAACTTTTCTTGTCTTTTAACTTTTTCGCTTCTTGCTCAAGGGATTCTTCTGAGGACAATCAATTTTTAAAGCAAGGCATGTCGACGACGTATTGTCAATTAACAGTGGTAATTTCCATTCTTATGTCGATACGATATATCCTAGTGAGTTAAAGATAAAAGACAACACAGAGTCTGACACATCTGTTTCGTATTTGAATATTTTACTTGAATAAGACGTTAATAGAAATCGAACAACAAATGTCTATGATGAACGTGATAACTTTTCCATCGTCAACTTCCATTACTTATGCAGCAATATACTTTCATCACCTGCATACGGAGTTTATATACAGTGTATCTCGGTTGATTCGATACGCAGAAGCATGCTCTACGTATAAACAATTTCTGTAAAGGTAAATTACTGAATTTCAACAAGTTGATGAAACAAGAATTTCATCAGTCTCGTTTAAAGTTATCATTTCGTAAGTTATACGGTCAATACACTTACCTTGTCAGCAAATACAATTTATTATTGAGTCAAATGCTGACTGACGTTTTTCATTCTTTGTTAGTCTATTAATTACTAGTATACACTGACGATGGATTTTTCCGTGATTTCCCGATCACGGCAGGGTATGCTCACTACTGCATGGCACCTGATCCTTAATATGATGTTTTCGAGGTCCGTGTTTGCTCTGCTCCTATTTTGTATTGTTTGATGGACTTTTGATCTTGAATAACAGTGGCGTAGCATCGTTTTTAAAGTGCCATATATAAAATTTTTTTTAATGAAAAAGTTGACAAGCAAAAAAAAAAAAAAAATGTAAAAGTTGCCCGAGTTGATATTACAGGATTTTTTTTCAGTGTCAACTTTTTAGTACCAATTCTTATACTACATTTTCGACATTTCTGGTCATTTTAACATTTCCTTAGTGTAAGTAATTATAACCTGGGTCCCCCCCGGATTTTAAGTTGTTTGTTATCTCCATATGTTTTAATGCAACTCACTGATAAGTTGATATTACAGGATTTCAAAAGCCACGTTTTTAGTCTTCATTTCATAAATTTATGGTCATTTTAATGACCTTTGTAGTAAATATAACCTATCAATAGGTCGAATTTTGGCTGAATTGTTTTATACCAATTATTATACCCTTGTTTTTATATTGAATTTGACCACGGATCTGCCTGATCAATGCATATGGCCCCCGGTCAAAGGCACTTGATCCAATCTGTGGAATTTCCAAAGGTCCATGATTAATACTCTCTTTGCATATTTGTATTGTTTATTGATTTTTTTTTTCGAGAGATGTATTGCAGACCTCTGAATTATGATGTATACCTCTAAGAAATTTATCCTGTTTCCATAAATGTTTATGCTCAGTTATTTTTTTAGCTACTTTTAGATACGTTTTACCTCTGAATTGTTTTTTTCAAATACAAAACAAATATGTCACATAAACGATCAAAACGACGTTGCTTTATCCAAACCTATACCCTGTCTGTTCAGAGTATATCTACAATTATATGCAATATATATTATTAAATGTTTTATTTATCATATATTGAATATATGTAGTACATTTATATCTGATAAATATCATGTAGTAGGAAGCTCCTATTTTTGTCGATGACTAAATAATTGGTACGCGAATCGTTATAACTTAGCTTGGTTATATTGTAAATATAATCAGGAAAAGGGTTGAACTTCCTATGCTAGACTCTGTAATTTAAAATCAATTTATAGTCTCCAAGCCTACCACTACCAGCTTTCAATCTTTTCAATATAGAAGCAAATACATTAGGCGAATAACGAACATTACATAAGAGAGTACGGGAAGTTCAGCAGATGAAGAAATTCTAAATTTAACCAGTTTAACGTAGTAAATGGTCATTAACATTGCAAACATTTAAAGGAAAAGAATACTTTGGAGACAAGTGTTTTTCCGTTGTAACAACAGATAATTTATTTCGAAATTGAAATATATATCTAATCTTATATAAAATAATGGAAATTAGGTCAAGTGAAATCTAGAGTGCTGACCTCGTATTATGTCCTTGCCATAGTCATATAACCAGGGGTATCATTTATAGACACTAGATGTGGACAATACTAAACTAGCATGTAAAAACGACACTTTTATTACGAACATATTCATATCATGCAGTATCTTGACAACAGCAAGAAAATAATTCATAGGCGATAAATACCAACTAACAACTAAAATGTGAAGACTTTTTTTTCTTTTTTATGTAGCAATTCGCTTATAATGTTTTTGTCTCCCGTCTGAATAATTTTGATTTTAAACCCAAGACTGGCTACGCAAAGATAAGTTGATGTCAACAACCTCATTATTAAAAAAAAATCAGCACTTCGTAAATTCTATGTTCTTCATAATGACCTTGTTAGTGAACACTGTTCCTTATTTTCAAATCGACATGCAGAAATATTGACGAGGTTTCATCTATTACCAATAGTTAATTCCATTTATAATATGTTGTCTCAATATATTTCAGTGAGCTTGAAAAAAAAAGACAAAATAAGACCTGGTACATCTTTTTCATATTGAATATTTTACCTGAGAAAGACGTTGATGGAAACAAACACCACGCTTTAAATAAACATAATGACTTCAATTTTTCAATCATCAGCTTTCCTTCTTATAGGGATATATACCGAGGCACCTGCATATAAGGTGTAAATCAGTTGATTTGATACGCAAGAACAGATACGTATAAATCATTTCTAATACGAGGCAAGCTACTGAACAACAAGTTGATGCAACAAAGATATCAACAGTCTCGTTTGAAGTCTGCAAATACAACACATTGAGTTACGTTGACTGATGTTTTCATACTAAATTGTCTGTTCATTATTTACACACCGAATTGTTTAAATTATTTACGTTTTGCTCGATCATGACAAGGAGCACACGGCGGATGTGACCGGTCGGCATAGGGTATGTTCAGATCCTCCATAGCAAAATATTCCACTTCTGATGTTTTGGAGGTCCGTTTTTTTGCTCTGCTCCTAATTTGTGTTTTTTGAATGGGCTTTTGAGCTTGAATACTAATTGTTATATTCATAAATGTCATCTTCACCCTTTTCATTATAATTCATTTAAGATATATATAAATAATTAAAAAAAAGATCTATTTCATATTTTAAAGAAAAGAAAATAGAAAGGGGTTATGCCGAAAGTATATGTGGACAAAGTACACGATACCCACTTATTATTTATGGAAGCAAGAAGGGGAGTTCTGAAAGATAAGTTCAGTGAGGCCAAATAATTACTAACAATTTTGAGTTTAGAATCCTTTTAGTTCAGTAAAACCATTGATATTTATTGAGATCTACTTACTGTTTGTGTGAGAGGAAATAATCAATTAAAATTTTTAAAAAATTGTTTGTCATCGTTCCGACCTAAAGTAAAAATTTTTGTTTTAAGGCACTTCATTTGTAGGTGAAAGCAAATTAGATAATTTTTCAGTCTCATAAGGTAAAAAATAAAATGTACTTTTATTATATAGTTTTGTTTTATCCAAATACTAGTGCGTGAGATTCATCTCGAGATAAATAAAAATGCCCATACATTGTCTACACAGTCTTGATTGATCTTCAACAATTCACAAACTTTTTGCTTTATGTTGAAAGGAAAAATATTGGTGTTTAAAACAGAAGTTTAAAAACTATTTGTTTGTAATTGTTTTTTTTTAAAATTGTTTTGCACTAGTGACCTGATATTTATGTTGATAACATTTACGCTTTAGGTAGACAGTAAACAGTACGAAGTTTTTCTTGAAAATGCCTTTATCACGAGATGAAAACCAAGATGCGTATGGATTGTTTGATCATATCTTTCATACTCTTTGTGTTACACTTAATGTTCGAATGTAAATAATGAAGATTACCTCCCCAATGCAGATGAATATGTAAAGAAACAAGGATATGATTAATTTATATTATATGAAAAATAAAAGAAAATAGAATGTGATGAAGTACCATGGAACAATAAATTTCATTGTATTTTCTGATGGATATTTTAAAAATTTAGATTTACAGAGAGAGAGAGAGAGGGAGAGAGAGAGAGTAACGAAATTTA